AGGGCAGCTCACGACGCAGCATGTGCCAGGGAGGCAGTCAGGTTGCCTTGTTGCTGTCACTGGATGGCACGCAGATGGGAAGGAGAGTGCTGCCTTCATGGTGAGAGTCTTTGTCTTCAGTGGGTTCCTGATAACAGTGCAGCTTCATGATGCTGTCCAGACGGGCGGTTAGAGTTTTTATCATCAGTGGGTTTATAACAGAAAAGCATTACACTCTAAAACTTCCCGAAGATGAGAAGCAGGTTGAGCAGTAAAAAATTGAAGTACTGAGTGTTGATACATATTTTTTTATTAACAGAAGTTTTAAGTAGGCTCACTGGGTTTCTTAAGATTATTGACCTCATTCAAAGTTGTAAGCTTGGAATCATTGCCGATCCCCGGTTTGTCTGGTAAGAGTTAAGGAGAATTTAACTGATCCGATTCCCTATTACTGTGATCACTTCTGCTGCAGCGTTTAACAGATGTCATTTAGCTTCACAACTCATGGAGCTCTGTTTGAGAGCAACCGGGGAATTGTAAGATCATGACCAGTATCTTTACGGGCTTGGTGAACTCTCCAGGTCATTTTTGGATGCATTTGTTATTGCATATTAAGACCAGAACATTTGTTCCCCATCCTGTGATAAATGAGGCACTTGAATAATGGAAAGCTAGATGGTGTGGGACTGCTGTGTGAGATGGGTCTGTGGAAGGAGATCAGGTTGTGGCAGAGGTGCGCCCTCGCTCTCCCTCTCTTTCTCACACACACACTCACACACACTCACCCTCACACTCTCTCCTTCCATGTCATCAACACTTTTTAGTGGAAGTCTTTTTCTGGAAAATTATCAGTTATGGATAATCTAATGACAGCTACAGTGATCACTCAAAACTTTTGAAAAGTAACTTCAGTCATATGTCATGTTAAATGTAAAGAAACACTTATAGAAAGTAGCGTGCAGAGAGTCAAGTTCAGGTGGCAACAGCAAACCTGAGCAGTTTGGTGGGATGGTGCTTGTTATTGAAGACTACTTCTTAAAAAGACACACTTGTTTCTTTTTCCTGTGTATGGGAAATACACTATGTGCTTGTTCTTATAACGTGTCTACCTATTTCCTAATTCTATCTGAGTATTTGAACTTGCATATAAACCATCTATAGTATAGTGGGTATAAACATAAGTGATACTCAAACATTTTGATCCAGGGATCTCTTTATACTCTTAAAAATTACTGAGATTTCCAAAGAACTTTTGTTTATTTTGAGGAAAATATTTATTTATTTAAAAATAACAAGCTCATGGTAATATTGATATTTTTATTCAAAATAACTGTTTTCCAAAACACTGGTATTGTGGGATAGCAGGTTAAGCTGCTGCCTGCAATGCTAACATCCTATACGGGTGCCAGTTTGAGTCCGGGCTGCTCTGCTTCCCATCCAGCTCCCTGCTGATGGCCTGGAAAAAGCGGTGGAGGATGGCCTAAGGGCTTGGGCCCCTGCACCCACATGGGAGACCTGAAAGAAGTTCCTGGCTTCAGTCTGGCCCCACCCCAGCCATTAAGGCCATTTCAAGGGTGAACCAGTAGATCAAAGATCTCTCTCTTTCTCTCTCTCCCTCTCTCTGTAACTCTGCCTTTGAAATAAAGAAATAAATCTTTTAAAAGAGAGAGAGAGAGAGAAAACTTAAAAGAAGGAATGGCATTGCTTTACATTTTTGCAAATCTTGTTAATGTCTGTGTTAATAAAGGACAGTGTCTCATCTTCGTCTGCATCCAGCTTGTTGTAATATGTTGCTTTAAATGTAATATGTAAAGAAAATACAGTTTCTGCAGAGATGTAATTGGAGAAGACCCCTAAAACGGTCATGGTGACTTCACTACCTTGTGACTTTGGGTTACAGGTGGCAGTGAACCAGGTTGTGCTAGAATGTCATTCTTTTTTTCAGAGAAGTTTTTTTTTTTTTTTTTTTTAGGTTTTTATTTATTTGAAAGGCAGAGTTACAAAGAGAGAGGGAGAGGCATACACACACACGCACACACACACACAGATTGTCCATCTGCTGATTCATTCCCCAAATGGCCGCAACAGCCAGGGCTGGCCAGGCCAAAGTCAAGAGCCAGGAGCATCCTCCGGGTCTTCCACGTGGTGCAGGGACCCAAGCGCTTGGTCCATCCTCCCCTGCTTTCCCAGGCACATTAGCACGGAGCTGGGTGGGAAGTGGAGCAGCCAGCCCTCAGCACTGCTGCCCACATGGGATGCCAGCGCCACTGGTGGTGGGTTATCTCGCTGGGCCACAGAGCTGGGCCCTAGAATGTCCTTTTCTAACTTTTTGGAATTCCATTAAGACCACTGGGGTTTGGTGGATCTTTTGAGAGGGTTCAGAATTCATGGTAATGCTGTGTAGCATATTCTGATTTCCAGAGTGGTTTGCTGTAACTTTTGTTATTTTGCACCCCCTAAATAGCACTGAGAATTAACCAGCAAGGGATGGGGTTCACCATGCTTCTCTGTCAAGGGAGAGGCTCAGGGCTTTCTAAAACGGCCACAGTTCATCTGTATTACAACAAAGCCGGTGCAAAGGGAATTTCACAAATATTTTGCCCAATCCACAGTCAATTTTAAATGACAATGTAGGGGCCCAGCACTGTGGCACAGCGGGTTAACACTCTGCCCTGAAGCGCTGGCATCCCACATGGGTGCTGGTTCTAGTCCCAGCTGCTCCACTTCCAATCCAGCTCTCTACTATGGCCTGGGATGGCAATAGAAGATGGCCTAAGACCTGGAAGAAGCTCTTGGCTCCTGGCCTTGGATCGGCACAGCTCCGGCCATTGCAGCCAATTGGGGAAAAAAAAATCATCAGATGGAAGACCTCTCTCTGCCTCTCCTTATCTCTCTGTGTAACTCTGACTTTCAAGTAAAAAAAAAATAAATATTTTTTTAAAAAAAGGGAAAATTTTAATATGAGACTTAGGCCAGGTTTGCCAAGCAGTGAGGCCACCTCTCTTTCTTCCTTTTCTCTGATGACATTCTAATTCTATATTCAAGCCTGTTAAATAAAATTGAGTTTTGCTTGGTATGGGGTGGTGGTGTTTCAGCATGGAGTTACTGGAGCTACAAAATAGGATTCCATATATGTGGGAAGTCAGTAGAGTGCAAAGTTGTCTTCCCCTGGAACTCCAGTAGTTGGAGGTGAGGCTGGGTGGGTGGGGCCACTTTTCCCCTGGGAACTAACTGGGGGGAGGCAGCTAATGGTCTGTGAAATGGACACTCTGCGTCCCATCCCATCGGCCTAAAGGGCTGGCAGTGAAGACTCAGGAGCGTGCTGAGTTGATTAAACACTGGAAGGTCGCAGACCACCGCAGGGCACCTGACTGGCAGGTAGAGCTTGTGCTCCAAGTAGGCGTCTACAAGTGACACTTTCCAAATTCCACAGGGCAGCGTGGCCAGTGAGTGCTCATCACAAGGCACTTTCTCTGTTTCCAAAACTTTCTCTTTATGTGAGATCCTTACCTAATTATGAGTCTGTGGAAGCTGTATTGCTTTTCTTCCAAACTGAACAATGGTTAGAGAGAATTTGGGATCATTTACACAATACCTCTGTGTTTTAAGATGTAGTCAGGAGGGGGCATCGCTGTGGCATAGCAGGTTACGCTGCTGCCTGGCCTGCAACACCAGCATCCCATATGAGTGCTGGTTCGAATCCTGGCTGCTCCACTTCTGTTCCAGCTCCCTGTTAATGTGCCTGGGAGGCAGTGGAGGATGACCCAAATGCTTGGTTCCCTGCACTGACATGGGAGACCTGGAGGAAGCTCCTGGCTCCTGGCTTCGGTCTGGCCCAGCATCTGGCTGATGTAGCCATTTGGGGAGTGAACCAGCAGATGGAAGGTCTCTGTTTCTGTCTCTGTCTCTCTCCCTCTCCCTCTCTCTGTAACTCTGCCAAATAAAATAAATAAATCTTTAAATTAAAAAAAAAAAAAAAAAACAGATGTAGTGGGATTACTGATGAGGGAGTTACCCAAGCTACTTTACTCAGCAGTAGTTACTGGAATACCTGGTTTTGTTTTTCTGACCTATAAAACATGGTGGTGTCCCTATCACAGCCTCTCAAATGTTTCACGTTAATGTAATCTGTGTTGATTGAGATTCTGATTTTATGAGGGGGAGAATCTGGATTCTAGCCCTGTGCCTTCCATTAACTAATTAGCTTTTTAATGTTGGACTTAATATTAAATGCCTCAGTGAGCCTCTGGCCATCAGTGTAATGTAAAATTCTGTGATTTTAAGATTTCACATTTGTCTTCCCTGAAAGTTAATGGGTTTGGGGCATCCAGGCTGGTTTTAAGGGTTCCTTAAACAGGTGCTTTCGACAGGGTGTAGTGACATGGTATACAATGGACATGCAGCTTGGGTTCTGTTCTCAGAAGGAGAAGAAACTGGCTTTGAGGTGTTGACTTGTGGATATTGCATTTTATTTTTTATCTGTTATTTGAGAGAGAGGGAGAGAGAGGGGGGGGGGGAGAGAGTGTGCGCGCACACACACTCTCCCCAGTTAGCTACTTCATTCAAATTCCTGCAGCAGACAGGAGGGACTGGGCCAGGCTGAAGCCAGGAGCCCAGATCGCCTATGTGAGTGGTAGGGACCCAACCACTTGAGCCATCACCTACTGCCTCCCAGTTGCATGATAGTGGAATTGGGAGCAGAGCTGGGACTTGAACCCAGGCACACTGATATGAGATACAGGTGTCCTGAGCAGCATTTTCACCACTGTGCCAAACACTTGTCCCAGCTTGTGGATGTTTTTAATTAAGCTCTTTGTCAGGCTGGAAAAGCAAGTTCCTTGAAGACAACTCGTGAAGAGCGTTACGACAACCAGAATCAAAGCAGGAGGCTCTTTCAGAACCTGAGATGCTCGGGTAAAGAGCCTGGACAGTTACCAGATTTTCTCTTCAGTTCTTCCAGTTGAGAAGTCTAAGAAGGGCTGACAGTCTGTGATTTGCTGTGCTTTGCTTGTGTGTTACAGCAACATGGCCAATGCCCTGGCCAGCGCCACTTGTGAGCGCTGCAAGGGGGGCTTTGCGCCTGCCGAGAAGATCGTGAACAGCAACGGCGAGCTGTACCATGAGCAGTGCTTCGTGTGCGCCCAGTGCTTCCAGCAGTTCCCGGAGGGGCTGTTCTATGAGGTAGGTCACACTGGGCAGCAGCAGCAGCACGTGCTGACTAGTGCCCTCCTTTTTTCTCATGCTGTTTTGCTGTTGAACATTGTATTGAAGTGCCACATAACACGCCGGGTCTTTGGTGCCTGTCAGGACAGTGATGGAACTTGTGGGCCATGGCCTGGCTGGGGATGCCCTTACAAACCCCACCATTTGTATCGTTCAGTTCATCTTCCTGCTTCAGAGCCTGCCTAAGCCCATGAGGTCCAAATACAGAAGCCTTTCAGAACCTTCAGCTGAAGCTCTTTGGGCTTCTCCACTTGGTTCCGCTGTGCTTGCCCCTTGCCGATTCCTGGCCCTATGTCTTTCTGTCTCTCTAAAGTTAAAGCATATATCCTGTTCTATGACTGCCCAGCCATGAGTAACAGCTTCCATGTGTTTCTTATCTTTTTTTTTTTTTTTTTTTTTGAAGATTTATATTATTTACTTGAAAGGCAGAGTGACAGAGAAAGAAGAGAGAGACTTTCTACCCCCTGGTTCATTCCTCAAATGGCTGCACTAGCCAGGGTTGAGCCAGGCCAAAGCCAGGAGCCTGGAACTCCATCCAGATCTCCCATGCTGATGCAGAGACCCAAGCACTTGGACCACCCGCCACTGCTTTCCCAGGTGCATTGGCAGAAATTTGGATCAGAAGTGGAGCAGCTGAGAATCGAACAGGGGCTCACATGGGAAGCTGGCATTCTAGGCAGCAGCTTAATGCCCTGTGCCATAATGCCAACCCCCATGTGTTTATTTAGAAAATAAATCTTGCTTAGAACATCTTGTTTAGAAACAAGTACTTTGGAGAACACCACCTGTATTTAGTTATTCTCTGTGTCTTGTGTTCTTTTCAAAGTCCTTTTTTCCCTTGATCTTCAGGTGCTCTTAAGTGGTCTGCACTTCCTCTCTGTAGTACATCCAATATTCTCACCACTACCAAAGCCCCTTTCTCACAGTAAATATCTTTGCTTTTGGAATGGTCAAGGGAGGCCGGCCTTATATGTAGGTGAAGATGAGAGTGATGCAGCTATGTGTGTGGGAAGAATTAGGTAACCGTGCTTACTGCCTTACTCCTCCATATCTGATTCTCTGTCTGCCCGCATCTCTGCTTAGATTGTATGTAGGTAGAGTTAGGTTATAGCAGAGACGGCTACTCGGTTGTGACTTCTTCCTTTGCCTGGAGGAGCTTTACACTCCATGCCTGCAGAAGGAGAGGGAAAGGTGATGAATAAGGTCTTTGTTGGCTGCTCAGGCAGTGTTTCCCGTAGAAACACTCCCCGTGAGAGTGCAGTGTCCAGGCCAGCCCCCAGCATGTCCCTCCCGCGTGCCTGAGACGTGTAACTGGCATGTATGCAGTCATGTAACTGTGGGAAACAGTGTGAGAGTCCGGGTTAGGAAATGCAGTCCTGCTCACCGGCACGTGTTTCTGTGGCCTGCAGCTGTGGCCCAGACATGCGTGTTCCCTGCAACAAATCCTCAGCACCAGGAAGAAGGCCTCATTTTCTCTTTTCTCCCAGAGTTCTTCCTGGCAGTAGGAATCGTCTTCTTCTCCCCCCTCCCCCAAAGCTGATGCCTTTAGGGATGGGAATGACAAGTTACAGTGGTGGGGTGGGGCAGGAGCAGGGGAGACCAGTGTCCACTACAGGAATCAGGATGGGGAGGAGCTCCTGGGGTGTGAATGGCCCATCAGGGCCAGAGACCTGGGCTGAGGCTGCGGTGGCTGCAGGGGTGAGGGGGAGGGAAAGGAAATTCCTAGTTCCATCTGCTTCCAGAGTCATGACAAAAGGCTCTTGGAGTAAGGCCTCTCAAGGCTGATGCAGGAGGGGCAGGCTGTTTTGATTCAGGATCTTTCAGAGGCTGTGCAGGTAGGGAGGGAAGCAGGGACCTGTGACCGACACCTCTACTGGGTCTGGGCTGGTATGCAGACCAGGCGTCGCAGGAGGAGTCTGATTTGGTGCATTTAGAGCAGGCAGGTGCAGTTCCAGGAAGTGGGCTGTGACTGAGAGGTGGGCACTGAGGCATGGCTGACAGTCCCCGCAGGGTCAGCCGAGCAGGCTGGGTCCAGCCGGCCCACAGTCACAAAGGAGCATGTACAAGAGGCAGACACTGGGATGAACCACGTTGAGGGACCACGTGAAGTGTGGAACCAGGAACTGTCAAGGGTGCCTGTGCCCTGATTCGGGTGTGAGAAAGGTGCACTTGTGTTCAAAGCTGATGCCAAGGCTGTGTGAAGTTACGAGAACACACTGCAGCCTCCCAGAGCACACGGCAGGGAGCCACAGACATGGGCTATGGAAGGAGCCACATAGCTTCCCTCTTTATCCCTTTTTCTTTTTCTCCTTATGGCCCAGAGAGGTTGAACTGCCCTTGACAACAGAGCAGGTTTGGTCCCTAATGTCCAGTACAGGCTGTTTCCTTTACATTTTTTTTCTTTTTTCAGTGTAAGCTATTATTGCTGGTAAGGCCTAGAAGAGTCCCAAGGAGCCACAAAAGAGGATGCAGAGAAAGACAGGCCCTGTTGTCCAGACATTCTCCCTGATTCCCTCAGAGGGCACCCAGAGCTCCAGCTCTCCATCGCTTTCTTCCTCCTGAATTGTCTTTTTGTCTGACACTGGTGCTACCCTCATTCCTGAACAGGGCTGCCTCCCGAGCTCCTGGTTCTGCCTTTGGGTGCCGTCAACTACAAGGCCACAGAGCCTAGTCAGAGGGAGGGCTTGCCAGCAGCCTTGAGCAGAAGGAGGAAGGCATGACTCACGCTGGTTCTCACCAGCCTGCCTCCCCCACGTCTGAACTATAAATACCCTCCACGGGCCTGTCTGGTGCTAGTCCAGAAGAGGTTGTGCTACCCAGAGCTGGGCTGCTCATGGGCTGCTGCCCGGCTTCAGCTCTCTTCAGTCCTGAGGAAGACCACTGTTTTAGCCTCAGTGTTCACCATGGAAACCCCTTCTCTGGAGTGAGGATTTATAAACCTGCACATGAAGAATAAGAACTTTCCTTTTGGTTGATGACATTAGAAAAAGAATTATCCAGGTCTTCTATCGAATAACCTTCATTTTCAGTTATACCTAACAGTAAATTTTTTTTTTCAGAAAAGGAGATTTGAATTACTTGGTTTGCTTCCCTTTGAGATATGTGATAGATAACAAATATACATTTGTATCATAACAAATGTAGTTACATTTGTGTAATAACAAACACCCCTTTAATGCTCCATACCTTTGTCACTACTTTTGTCTTATCAAGATATCATCCTAGCCGGCGCCGTGGCTCACTAGGCTAATCCTCCACCTTGCGGCGCCGGCACACCGGGTTCTAGTCCCGGTTGGGGCGCCGGATTCTGTCCCGGTTGCCCCTCTTCCAGGCCAGCTGTCTGCTATGGCCAGGGAGTGCAGTGGAGGATGGCCCAGGTGCTTGGGCCCTGCACCCCATGGGAGACCAGGAAAAGCACCTGGCTCCTGGCTCCTGCCATCGGATCAGCGCGGTGCGCCGGCTGCAAGCGGCAGCCATTGGAGGGTGAACCAACGGCAAAGGAAGACCTTTCTCTCTCTGTCTCTCTCTCTCACTGTCCACTCTGCCTGTCACCAAAAAAAAAAAAAAAAAAAAAAAAAAAAATATCATCCTGCCCATATTTCCACAGCCCCTGCACATCCTTTTTTCTGAGAGACAGCTCTGAAGGCTTACAGGTGGAGTTTGTACATGCACTGCCCCTTAGTGTGGAATCAGACCCTTGTGTCCTAGCCACTCACCCGGACACGTGGCTGGAGATGGGCACATCTGCAGAGTGACACAGCACAACCAGGGTTATCCCAGTAGTAGCGCCATACTAAATCACACTAGGTTATGTGACTTTTGAAAGTGAACCTGGGGCCACCATTGTGGTGGCAAGTTAAGCAAGTTAAGCCACCACCTGCAGCACCAGCATCCCACACGGATGCTCGTTCAAGTCCTAGCTGCTCCACTTCTGATCCAGGTCCCTGCTAATGGACTGGGAAAGCAGCAGAGGATAGCTCAAGTCCTTGGGCCCCTGCACCCTGCACATGGCAGACCCAGAAGAAACTCCTGGTTCCTGGCTTTGGCCTGGCCCAGCCCCAGCTGTTGCAGCCATTTGGGGGATGAACCAGCGGGTGGAATATATTCTCATTCTCTTTCTCTCTCTCTCTCTCTCTCTCTCTCTCTCTCTCTCTCTCTCATTTAAAAAAAAAAAAGGGAACTTGTTTAGGCACCAGTTAAGATGCCCACATTCCACATCGCAGTGCCTTGTTTCAGTTCCTGGCTGCAGCTCTGCATTCCAGCTTCCTGCTAATATGGGACTTGGGAGGCAGTGGGCTCCTGCTGAGGTCATTGGGTTCCTGCCACCCATGTGGGAAACCTGCATTGAATTCCTGGCTCTGGGCTCCACCTCTAACCCAGCCCCTCTCATGGGAGTTTAAAGAGTAATCTAGTTGGAGCTCTGTCTCTCAAATTAAAAAATAAAACAAAAATAGGGCCGGCGCCGTGGCTCAATAGGCTAATCCTCCACCTTGCGGCGCCGGCACACCGGGTTCTAGTCCCGGTTGGGGCGCCGGATTCTGTCCCGGTTGCCCCTCTTCCAGGCCAGCTCTCTGCTATGGCCAGGGAGTGCAGTGGAGGATGGCCCAGGTGCTTGGGCCCTGCACCCCATGGGAGACCAGGAAAAGCACCTGGATCCTGGCTCCTGCCATCGGATCAGCGCGGTGCGCCGGCTGCAGCGGCGGCCATTGGAGGGTGAACCAACGGCAAAGGAAGACCTTTCTCTCTCTGTCTCTCTCTCTCACTGTCCACTCTGCCTGTCAAAAATTAAAAAAAAAAAAAAAAAAAAAAAAAAAAAAATGTTAACCTAAAAGGTTGATATCACCACTGAAGAACATAGGATAGATATTCACTGATACATACCTGTGCTCTGTAGCGTCTATCATGAAAAGAATCATGTACCCAAGGTGTTTGTTATTGTAAGACATCTTTAGTGGTGTTTTTAGCTCAGCCTCTTCTGAGTCCATACAGCACTTCGTTTTTTTATTTGAATCATTATAGCTGTTTATTTATACATTTGCCTTCCCATCTAACTTTTAATACCTCTGGTGCAGGGACTTTCCTGAATAATTTGTTATCGCTTGCATTCTTTACAATAGTTGATGCCTAGCAGGTCCTTAATAAACACAATGATACATATACACATTACTAATTTACTAACTAGGACTAAGTAAGACATTTCCTATCTTAAGCACTTACTGGCTGTGCTCCAAAATCTCAGCATTCTATAACCAGTGCATAGCGTGAACATGGTCCAAAGTTTAATATGCCTTGTGCAGTGCAGGTGGACGGAAGAAATGCATTCTTGGGTAGAAACAGGATATTCTACTTGAGGGCAGACCTCTGAGTAGACCTCCTAAGTTATGATGTCTTTTTTGTACAATATGAGTATATAGACCTTTAAGTTGATGTGTTTAGTCAGGCCAATGTGGTTTTGTTGAATGAACTTACTTTTTATTTTTTAAAATCTTTTTTTTTAATTTATTTGAAAGACAGATAACAGAGAGAGGAGAGAGAGAGATATCTTCCATCCACTAGTTCACTCCCCAAGTGGTCACAACAGCTGGGGCTGAGCCAGGCGGAAGCCAGGAGCCAGAAGCTTCTTCCAGGTTTCTCACATGGGTAGCAGGGGCCCAAGCACTTGGGCCTTCTTCTACTGCTTTCCCCAGGCCACAGCAGAGAGCTGGATCAGTAGTGGAGCAGCCAGGACTCGAACCAGTGTCCATACAGGATGCTGGCACTGCAGGCAGAGGCTTAACCTTCTGTGCTACAATGCCAGCCCCTAGGTTTGAAAATCTTAAAATTTAAGCAAAGTTGAAAGAAAAGTACAGTGAGTAACATGGGCTGTATGCATCTTTCATATACATACCACATCTGTTTGCCAAATGATTTAATGATACTGAATGGAGTTACTTTTAATTTTCTACAACATTTGCGTTTGAGTACTTGTGAGGAGGATCCATGATTTGACTGTTACTTGCAGGGAGAAGCAGTGGAGGAGTTGTAGATAAGAGGCTTTGGGATATAGGAATCTCCAAAATATTCTGTTATTGAGTGACAGGTTATATCAGATTGGGATTTTGATATGATGACTTCTGGTCATTGGAATATCATTTCTTGAATTAAAAGCGACCCCTGCCTTTGTGTTTAAGTGGGTCAAATAACTTCATATTTCCAAGTGTGTAAGTTAAAAGGAAAATCAGTAGAGCTTTATTTTCCTTAGATTGAGAATGAGTTGGACTCAAGAACTTGCCTCTGTGAGGCAGACAAGGGCAAGAAGTAACTTGCCGTGAAGGAATCTGGAAGATGTAGGTCAGCATCAGTAGTAGTAAGTTGTGGTGAGGTCATGCGCCTTATATGATGCGACAAGTAGAACACGTTACCACTTTTAGAGCATTCTTTCCCAAAACCCGTGACCTGAGTGCAGGCATGAGCTAGGAAGCCAGTTGCCTGGGCAGATGCAGCAGCAGCAGTGGCAGATGCTGCTTTGCCTTGTCCTCCTCCATCTCTGATGCAGAATATGATGCTGAGGTTGGATGTTTAGGGGTCATCATCACGGATGACAAGTTCTAGTTTGTACAGAGAAATTTCATGGTCCAGTACTACCAGGAATTGAAAGGCATGGAAGAGAATAATTTGCCTACAGGCCTGTCTTTAACAAATATAGTTCTCAGGTAGAAAAGTATGTTGAGGTGCCGGTTTTGTGGTGTAGCAGGTGAAAGCTGCCAGTTGCACTGCCGGCATCCCACATGGGCGCAGGTTCAAGTCTCGGCTGCTCCACACCAGCTCTCTGCTATGACCTGGGAAAGCAGTAGAAGATGGCCCAAGTCTTTAGGCCCCATATAGGAGACCTGAAAGAAGCTGCTGGCTCCTGGCTTCAGATCTGTCCAGCTCTGGCCATTGCAGCCATTGGTGAGAGAACCAACGGATAGAAGACCTCTCTCTCTCTCTCTCTCTCTCTCTCTCTCTGCCTCTGCCTCTCTATAACTGTGACTTTCAAGTAAATAATTAAATCTTAAAGAGAGAGAAAAGTGCCTTGAAGAACAGCTGCTGTGCTGGATTCCTGGAATTAGCGTGGTGGTTTTCACAGCAACGTCAGAGCACCATCAGGGTGAAGTAGCTACTGGACACGCTGTTCACATTTATGGATTTTCCGGCTTTTAAAGAAATGTCTCTGAACTACAAAGCAGAACAAGAAGGCCAGGGACTGGACTTCAGCAGTGGTTTAGTGGTGACTTCATTGTGCAAGGCATCTTCTGTGTTAGTTTTCCGGAACAATCTGCAACACCAGTTCCCACCTCCAGACAGTGAATGGATCATTCTGGATGTTACTGGTCTACTTGGCTCAGAGGGACTTCAGCTCATGGTGACAGAGTACATCTTGGAAAGACTTCTTTGTCCCTCAGCCCTTCATTCATGTTAAGTGTGGGGTCAAGACACGCCCTGACCGTCCTGGACCTGTTTCTTCTGAAACACCTTCTGTATTCATGACCCTGGCGGCCTTCCTCTCCTCACTGGGGCTTCCTCCCTAGTATACGTGTTGGTGTCAAGAGTGGGGGGTAACCCATTGTCATGAACGCCCTTTGAACCAGCAGACTTTTGTGTGTGTACTCAACAGCTCTTTTTAACATGGGTCAGGGTTTCAGTCCTTCAGCTCAGTGGGGTTTTTGTTGTGGAGTAGTTATCTAGGGTGCTACTCAGGCCGGCTGCTCACCATAATATTTGTGTGTCTCTTGGGACCGCAGCTTGTCTTGGCTGTAAGAATCAAGTGAGAGAGGTGTCCTTTACCTAAAAGCTGCATGTAAACATTAATTCCTAGCCTTACATTTGTAGTCCTTGTATTACTGTGTCTTCTACTGTTCCTGATATAGTCTCACCGTTTCTAGAAGTCTCTCTTAAAGCATTATTTTTGAAAATATATATATGTGTAATTTTTAAGTTTTATTCATTAGTTTATTTGAAAGACAGAGACTTAGAGAGAGAGAGGGAGAAGAGAGAAATCTTCATCTACTGTTTTACTCCCTCAAATGCCCACAATAGCCAAGGCTAGGCCAGGTCAAGGCCTCAACTCTATCTGGGTCTCCCATGTGAGTGGCAGGGACCCACGTACTTGAGCTGTTACCTACTGCTGCTTCCCAGGGTGCGCATTAGCAGGAAGCTGGATCAGAAGGGAAGGAACCAGGCTTTGAAGCAGGCACTACGATGAGAGATGCAGGTACTGAAGCAGCGCCTTCACTGCTAATGTCCCGGGCAGGACAGTGGCCTGGCCCAGCCCTGGCCTTTGCAGCCATAGATATCTTTCTCTGTTCTCTCGTTTTCTTACTCTCTCCCTCTTTCTCCATAACTCTGCTTTTCAAATAAATAAATCTTTTAAAAAAAAATGAAAAGCAGAGAGTATGTGGGCTAAAAACCATTCATCACAGTCAGAGGTAAGACCACTGGAGCCTGGGGGTGTAACACTCTCCAGCCTCAGCTTACTCAGGGTGTTGCTCCTGCACCAGCACGTCGGGATGGAAGGTACTTGAGCATTCCCGCCTTTAAAAATAGCCCATTGGAATCAGAATTCTGAGGACAGAGCATTTAGTTAAAACACACACTTTTCTGTATATCTCTTTAGAATAATTTTATTCCTCCTGTGGTTGTTTAATATGTGGTACTTTGTCTTTCAGTTTGAAGGAAGAAAGTATTGTGAACATGATTTTCAGATGCTCTTTGCTCCTTGCTGTCATCAATGTGGTAAGTTTTACTGATGAGTACAAAGTAAAAAGTAACTTTAAAATTACATAAGTTGGGGCTGGCGCTGTGGCATAGTGGGTAAAGCTACACCTGCAGTGCCAATATCCCATATAGGTACTCCACTTCTGATCCAGCTCTATGGCCTGGGAAAGCAGTAGAAGATGACCCAAGTCCTGGGGCCCCTGCACCCATGTGGGAGACGTAGAGGAAGCTCCTGGCTCCTGGCTTCAGATCAGCCCAGCTCTAGCAGTTGTTGCCATTTGGGAAGTGAACCAGCAGATGGAAGACCTCTCTCTCTCTTTCTGCCTCTGCCTCTCTGAAATAAAATAAATAAATTTTTAAAAATTACATACGCTGTTGACTGCTATTAAAGTACCAGTGGTAAAAATGGTTTGAAGCGAGGTGTTTGGCACCATGGTTACGATTCTGCTTGGGACACCCACATCTCTTATCAGAGTGTCTGGGTTCAAGTCCCTCTCTACTTTTGATTCCAGCTTCCTGCTCATGCGCAATCTGGGTGACAACAGCGATGGCTCAAATAGTTGGGCCCCTGTGACCCACGTGGGAGGCCCACATGGAGTCCCAGGCTCCTTGCTCCTTTCCCAGTCCTGGCTGTTGCAGGTATTTGGGGAGTGAACCAGGAGATGGAGCATTTCCATGTCTTCTCCCTTTCAAGTAAATAAGTAAGTGAATATTTTTAAAATGGTTTTTGATGCTTATTACCCATAACTATCAGGTTCTTTATCAGTCTTCTTCTCTATTATTGATACATTACAAACTGGAAGAGTATCAAGACCTGGAAAGAAGATTTTTGCATTTTATTTATTTGCTTATTTGAGAGACAGAATGATGGAGAGACAGAGCCCACACACTAGTTCCCATCCACTAGTTCATTTCCCAAATGGCCACAACAGCCAGGGCTGGGCTGGGGCTGGAACCAGGAACCAGGATCTCCCATGTGAGGGGCAGGAACCCAACTACTTGAGCCATCACTGCTGCCACAGCGAATCTGCATTAGCATTCTACCACGGGACACGGGCATCTTACCCAGCAGGCCAGATACCACCTCAAGAAGTAAATTTTAGGGGAATCTAGGGTAGAAGTTTTGGGGGACTAACTGGGACCTCCATAGCTGATAGTTGGTCCTCTGGAAGGCTGTCTGCCCTGGCAATGCAGCCTTTGCCTGCTTGCCTTTAGGGCTATCAGGAAGGCATCCGTGAGGTGCGGATGCTTCAGGGTTGCTTGGGTGGTACGTAAGTGCTTGATTTGCTTGCATTTTAGCCCCTTCACTGGTTGCTAACGGCTCTACTAGAAGATTTCTAGAGATTGGAGAAACTGACATAACATTGTAAAGGTTTAGTGAAGAAGGAGCTAAGTCTGTGTTCCAAGAGAATGTGCTGTGGGTTTCGGTTGTCTTGGTTGACAATGACCAGAAGTAGCCAAAGGCAGTCAAGAGAGCCCAGTATATTGGGAAAGGAAAGACTGCTTAGATGTTCCAAATTTAGAATGCTTAAAGCAACCTACAGAAAAAGAAAAAGCCCACAGAAGTTCAGTTTTAAAAAATAAAAAGGCAGTAAGCAGAAATAAGTATTGTGTTATGCCGCATTGAAAAAAATCTAATTAAATATGAGCAAAATAAAGGAAAGCCAGATTCAGAAATATAATAAAACAGCCCCAAAATATAGCTACAGAATTGAAAACAATGCAAATGGCAAAAAAAAAAGCTGTATTTTCTAAGGTAGTACTTACTCTGGTAGACATATCGGACTTAAAAGTCTCTCTTTGTGGAGAAGGGTTTAAATGTGTGTTTTCCTCACTTGTTTTTAGCAAATAAGGTGGCACACTGGACATCCTTTGTGTACTGCTTTCCCACAGGTGAATTCATCATCGGCCGAGTTATCAAGGCCATGAATAACAGCTGGCATCCTGAGTGCTTCCGCTGTGACCTCTGCCAGGAAGTTCTGGCAGATATTGGCTTTGTCAAGAATGCCGGGAGGTAGGCGGTTTCCATCCTTGTCGGATGTTGGGGGAGAGTGACTGCTGCAAGGTCATGTGTGGTTTCCCTGTGGGGTGTAGGCAGTGCTGCGCAACACTGGGTTTAGGGCGCGTGGTTACAGGCCCTGCAGTGTGCTGAGTAAGGACTCTGCAGCTTCTATGAGACAAGGCCCAGCTGCCCCACGTCCCCTGGGCTGCCCACAGGAGATACACACGCAGGTAGAACTTCCTGGAAATCACTGGGGTTGGAATAAGTAGTTCCTGTAGCTTGGTGCTGCTCTGTTAAACACAGGAGTGATTTTTTTTTCTTAAGCAATGATTTCCTTCTTTTCAGAAATATGGGAAGCTTACTTCTTTTTGATTGTTAGGAAGAACCTAAGATGTTAAATGTAAGTTTTGATTCTGCTTAGACACCTGTGTCGTCCCTGTCATAACCGTGAGAAAGCCCGAGGCCTTGGAAAGTATATCTGCCAGAAGTGCCATGCCATCATTGACGAACAGCCTCTGATATTCAAGAACGACCCTTACCACCCAGACCACTTCAACTGCGCCAACTGCGGGTATGGTGCTTTCTTCCTTCTCAGCGCACACACACGGAGTCAAACAAAACCTGCTAGTCCTCCGAATCTCTGGTGCTCCAGCCAGTTACATTATTAAAGTAATTTGTACTTGTTTTCAAGAACTTTCATCTTCCCTTTTACTCCCCAACTGCCCACAACACTCAGGGCTGTGGGTGGCCGAAGCCCGGGCCCAGAACTCAGTCTAGGTCTGCCACGTGGGTAGCAGGGACCCAATGCGTTGTGCCGTCTTCACGTTAGTAGGAATGTAGAATTGGAAGCAGAGCTAGGATGCGAATGCAGGCACTCATTTATTGGACGTGGGCATCCCAAGGGGAATCTTTTTCTTTCTTCCTTTTTTTTTTTTTTTTTTTTTTTAAAGATTTATTTGAAAGGCAGAGTTACAAAGAAAGATGGAGAGACAGAGATTTCCCATCCTGTTCGTTCCCCAGATGGCTACAATGGCCAGCACTGGGCCAGGCCAAAGCCAGGAGCCAGGAGCTTCATCTGGGCCTCCCATGTGGGTAGCAGGGGCCCAGACACTTGAGCTCCCTTCTGCTGCTTTCCCCAGGCCATTAGTAGGGAGTTTGACTGGAATTGGAGCAGTTGGGACTCAAACTGGCACCAGTGTGGGATGCTGCCTCACAGGAGGCAGCCTTACCTGCTGTGCCACAGTACTGGCCCCCAAAGTGGCAACCTAACCATTGGGCCAACACCCACCCCTCCAACTTTTAATGTAGAGAATTTAAAACTACAGAAGGGTGGAAAGAATGATATAATGAAAACAACATTTTACCACACTTCTTGAGTATGTGTACAGTACCCCCTTCCCTCTGTGTTTTGTGTGCATGTACAAGTTCATGTGCACACATGTCTCTTTAATTTTTTTTTCACTATACAGATTGAAGCTAGTTGTAAGCATCAAGACTCAGGATGCATCTCCTGAGATTAAGGACATTTTCCTATAAAAACACAATTCTCTTAGCATACTAAGAAAATGATCAATAATTTTATAATATCAGATATTCAGTTCATGCTACAGTATTCCCAGTTATCCCTAAAACTGTTTGTCATCATGATGTTTTTCCAGTATAAGATCCAAAATAAAAATCTTATCTCTGGGCTGAGTGTTGGATTACAGCAGATTTGGATGGGATGCCAGTATCCTGTACTGGACTTCAGGTCCCAAATACTCTGCTTCTAATCCAGCTCCCTGCTAATGTGCCTGGGAAGTGGCAGATGATGGTATTTTTTTTAAAGATTTATTTTATTTATGTGAAAGACAGAGTTACAGAGAGAGGTAGAACCAGAGAGAGAGAAAGAGTCTTCCATCTGCTGGTTCACTCCCCAAATGACTGCAATGACCAGAGCTGAGCTGAGCTGTTCTGAAGCCAGGAGCCAGCAGCTTCTACAGGCTCTCCCATGTGAGCAGGGGCCCAAGGACTTGGGCCATCTTCGACTGCTTTCCCAGGCCATAGCAGAGAGCTGGATCGGAAGTGGAGCAGCCAGGACTCGAACTGGCGCCCACATGGAATGCCGGCATTGCAGGCCAGGGCATTATCCTGCTGTGCCACAGCGCTGGCTTCCACATGGTGGTTTAAGTGCTTCAGTTTCTGCCACCCACGTGGGAGTTCCTCGCTCCTCACTTCAGCCTCCCGACCCTAGCAATTGTGGCCTTTTGGGGAATGAATCAGTGGATAGAAGATCGTGTGTGTGTGTGTGTGTGTGTGTGTGTGTTATGTGTGTGACTTATCTTTCAAATTAATTTTTAAAGTGTCTTGTCTTTGTATAATATATAATGTTAAAAGCTGTGAATATTAGCCTGTTGGAGCCATGTTGTGGCAGAGTGGGTTAAGCTGCCACTTGGGATGTCTGTGTCCCATATCTGAGTGCCAGTTTGAGTCCTGACTATTCCACTTCTGATCCAGCTCCCTGCCAGTGCACTTGGGAACAGCAAAGGATGGCTCCAGTACTCTAGTTCCTGCCTCCTGGCTTTGCCATACCCAGCCCGTTTGTCGTGGCCACTTGGGGAGTGAACCAGTGGATGGAAAATCAGTCAATCAGTCTCTCTCTTTATTTCCCTGTCCCTCCTTCCCTCTCTCTCTCTCTCTCTCTCTCTCTCTCTCCACCTTTCACATAAATAAATGGATCTTTTTTTTTTTTTTACAAAAATCAGGGTGTTATTTTAAAATATGGTAAATTACATTAGTTTTGCTTGATTTTTTAAAAGATTTATTTATATATTTGAAAGTCAGAGTTACACAGAGAGAGAGAGGTCTTCCATTGTTGGTTCATTCTCCAGTTGGCCGCAATGGCCGGAGCCGCATCGATCTGAAGCCAGGAGCCAGGAGCTTCTTCCAGGTCTCCCACATGGGTACAGGGGCCCAAGGACTTGGGTCATCTTCTACTGCCTTCCCGGGCCATAGCAGAGAGCTGGATTGGAAGTGGAACAGCCATGTCTCGAACTGGTGTCCATATGGGATGCCAGCACTGTAGGCCAGGGCGTTGACCTGTGCCACAGAGCTGGCCAGTTTTGCTTGATTTATGCCCAAAGGGAATATACTCATTTGTTGTTGTCTTCAAAAGTCATGAAAAATTGTTAGAGATGAATTTTCTGATTTTGTTATCAGGTATAAAAACTTAATAGAGGGGCTGGCGCTGTGGCACAGTAGGTTAATCCTCCTCCTGTGGTGCCAGCATCCTATATGAGCGCTGGTTCTAGAGCCGGCTGCTCCTCTTCTGATCCCGCTCCCTGCTGTGGCCTGGGAAAGCAATGGAAGATGGCCCAAGCTATGGGCCCCTGCATCCACATGGGAGACCTGGACGAAGCTCCTGGCTCCTAGGTTTGGATAGGGTCAGCTCTGGCCATTGCAGCCATTTGGGGAGTGAACCAGCTGATGGAACACCTTTCTGTCTCTTTCTCTCCCTGTCTGTAACTCTACCTTTCAAATAAAAAGTAAATAAAAATCTTTAAGAAAACTTAATGAAAAAAGATGTGTTTATATAGTTAGTATATGAGCCTCCATGCTAAATAATAGTGGGGAGGAAGGAGAGGCCACAGGAGAAAGACTGGAGGACAGTTTGTGGTGTAAGTTCACCACCTCAGCTTCTGTGGTTGAATTACCAGTTTGTACCTGTTCTCCTTTTCTTGCCTGTTCTTCCTCCGCGGGAGTCTTCTCTGTAGGGAATGATTTAAAACAAATGAAATTCACACAGGCCCATTTGATTGATTGCGGGCAATCTCTGGCTTAATACTTGCACAAAACAATAGGTAAGCATTTGGAGAAGGAAAATTCTGGGCTATGTTCTGCTTGTTTTCCGTCAATCTAAGTTTGTAAGTTCTTAACAGGTTGTGACAATTTAAATAATTATTAGTAAATATAGTTGGCCTCCTCATTCCTTGGTTAGTTTGGAAAGGCAGAATTTCTGAGTTGGTCTTCAGCAGTGACTCGTTTCTGTAGTTTTCTGCAGACAGACAGGAGCCCTGAAATACAATATGACAGATGACAAGGAAATGGTAAATGGGACTGCTATAATGGTGTGTCTGTGTCCTATTCTTGTGTCTTCCTATCACAGGTTACTGATGTCTTGGTAACAGTCTCAAACCTACTGAAGGCTATTAATTCAAGTTACTCTGGTCATCTCTAACAGGAGAACAAGACATTTCACAGAAATTATCTTAGTAGTATCTGGAAAGTGTGCTGGCCACACTGATGGCCTGTTTTTCTCTACTAGTCATACTCTATTGGATGTCTTTCTTGTGGACAGGAAGGAGCTGACCGCTGACGCCCGGGAGCTGAAAGGGGAACTGTACTGCTTGCCTTGCCATGATAAGATGGGGGTCCCCATCTGTGGTGCCTGCCGACGGCCCATCGAAGGGCGTGTGGTGAATGCCATGGGCAAGCAGTGGCATGTGGAGGTGAGAGCAGGAACCAGCACTTTGGCATTTCTGTGGTTTGGCTGTGCCAGCAAGATTAGGAGGGTTTAAAAGGCCACATTGTGACATATTTAGAGACAGCTGACTTTGTAGAAAGTGAAGAGCGGAGAACTGCTTTGTGATGGTCAATAACGGTGCAGGACGTGCACTTGGTTAAGTCCTCCTTGAGGCTCTCTGTATGTAGCAGCGGCCCCTCCCTAAGACATCCCGCTGCGCTGTTCTTCTTGTGGTGTTTGCGGGGAGGCCGTGTCTAAGAGTACCTGTCAGAGACTCAGACTGGAAGTGTTCCGGGAGGACTCATGTTACTGTTACATGTTACTGTTTATGCACATAGAGGCCTTGGGGCTGCTTCATTAGATGAATGAAATATGGCAATTAAAGTGACCTACAGCAATTTCTTTCCAGCATTTTGTTTGTGCCAAGTGTGAGAAACCGTTTCTTGGACATCGCCATTATGAGAGGAAAGGGCTGGCATATTGTGAAACGCACTATAACCAGGTATTGATTATACTTACTTGTACTGTTGGACACTAGATAGACTTCTATGAATTTACACTTGCCAACACTTTAGCTTCAAGGAAGTATCTTAGAAAATGTACTTTGATCTACAGAGATTTTGTTTTTATGTTTTCATTTGGGAAATAATTTCAGATTCGTACAAAGAAAACTTACATACCTTTTACTCAGACTCACTATTCGATTCATGATTTGCATGCGTTTGGTCTTATTATGTGAAAACGCACCCCTATATACACATACCTTTTTGAAAAGTTTGTATTTATTTGAGAGGCAGAGAGACAGAGCAAGGCTCCATCCTCTGATTCACTCTCCCAGTGCTTGGAGTGGCCAGGGTTAGGCCAGGCTGAAGCTAGGAGCCAGGAAGGCCATCTCCGTCTCCCTGTGGGTGGCAAGAACTCAGGTCCCTGAGCCGTTATCTGCTGCTCTGAGCTGCATTAGCAGAAAGCCTAATTAGAAGCTCTAAACTGCTAGAACTCAAACCAGGCACTCTGATACAGGATGTGGGCATCCTAAACAGTGACTTAATGTGCTACACTACAATACCCACTCCCACAATACCTCTGTATACAAATATTTGTTTGCATATGTACAAACACATACATAGCTTCCGTTCTTAAGCATTTGACAATTCCATCACAGTCCTTTATCCTTAAATACTTCCGTGTGTATTTCCCAAGAAGACAGAATTCTCTTACACAGCTGTAGTTGTCAGTGTTGATACAGTATTTTAGTTCACTTATTCTAATTTTTTCATTTGCCCCAATAGTGTCATTATAGATGTTTTTTCCTACTTCAAGACTGGACCCAGCCTAGGTTTGTCATGTTTCTTTAGTCTCCTTACATCTGGAGCATTTGCAACCCCTGTTTTGGTTTTTGCTAACATTGACTTTAAGAGTACATAGACAGCTTTTCAGATGGGTGTCTACACTGGTCCGGTGCAGCTACACTGAGGTTGTATGCTCAAGGTTGGAACACATGCAGGGGTACCGTACGTGTGCTGTGTCCTACTCAGGGCCTCTCCTCTGGGTCCTCCAGTCCCTCTCCTCCCGTTAGCGATCCCGAGGGCCCATGCTGGATGATGTCATCACTCTGAGTTACTGTGTCCCCCTTCCCAAGTTAGTAATGATAGTCACTTTACACCAGAACAGTTTTCCTCCCCAAAACTCCACTCATGGTTCCCGCCTGCCTGGCTGATGATGTTTCTGCAGCCTTACCCTTGGCACTCTGGCTGAGCAATAGCCCGTTTTCCTCCTGTGTCTAACCTTACTCACTTACCTAATGCTTATCTGTATGGACTCACAAAGTCCTGTATTTTTCATTAATTATTTTTGTTCTCAAATTGCCATCGAGAAAGTGTTTTTTAGGTGATGAAAAGTAAATTATTTTCATTGTACGAAGTGAAAAAACTTAGTGAACTTGTACTAACTTTCTCTGATAATGGCAAGTTCTGGATGAGGTCCACATTTTCTCTGTTTAATTAAGCACTGGAGAGTACTGAAATTGTATTAGATTATCCATGTCCTGAAATTTAATTGTAATACACCCTGAACCTTGACCTCTTTGTTTTTCCTTTGCAGTTATTTGGTGATGTTTGTTTCCACTGCAACCGTGTTATAGAAGGCGATGGTGAGTGTCTGTGGGTGTTAACGTGGCCGTGTTTTGACACAGAACAGCTGGGTCATGTGAAAACTGAAAGAGGTTAATGGTCCCTCTTGTTTGGAGTGTGATCATTATCAGCTACCTTTGCTGTGTCTCTGGCGTGTTTCCCAGAGCATGAGGTGACGTCATCTCAGAATCGGATTCCTTCCTCCTTTATGGTGATAGAAACTGCTCCTGACTGACCCAAAGACCTGTTGGAGTTGCCAGTTCATGGAGGCTTTCGGACCACGTTTATTAGGGCTATGAGGAAGGCGCTCGAGCCCCGCCCGTGCTGTGACCTGGCGGTTCGCGGCCCCTGTTGCTAGGACTTCCCACCCTGCACGGCAGTAACCAGGCTGGGCTGGCTGCACTGCCGCGGGAAGGAAGCAGCTGTGTGTGCTCAGTCATGAGCACAGTTCTGCCCGAGACTTCCTGGCAGAGTTTGAAACAATCCTGTTTTCAGTGCGCCTCCTGGTTCTCAGCAGACCTCACCCAACCCAGGAAGTGCGTCCCGAAACACTGCACAGGTGCGGCTTGTGAGAAGGTCAGTGCAGGAAAACCGTCTGCAGTGCCGCGGAGGATAAAACTCGGCTCGCTCCTGCAGAGGCAGTGGAGAGGTGAAGGGAGCCTTCAAGGAAGCGCTTTTCTCATGTTAGCTTTAGAGGAAAGGTCCCTGCCAACAATTTCATGTCTGGATTTTCCTAAAAATACAGACTCTGCAGACTCTGTTGGACCAGTGGCAGCAGGGACTGCGACGTGACTGAGTGATGGTCTAAGGTGCCGTGCAAGGAAAGCTCTTCTGAGTGGCACCGTGCATGTGGGTGGGGCTCCCTTGTCCGCAGGGCGGGGGGGACAAGGTGGCGGACACATATATGTACCTCACAGGATGCCTAAGGGGAAAGTCGGCAATCACATTGACAAGCCCATAATAATCTGCTCTAAATGGATGCCTGAAGTCAGTGAAGACATAAGTGTTTGGGGTACGTGTGTACGTGTCTCTGTGTGTGTGTGTGTGTGTGTGTGTGTTTTAAAGAAAATGATGTGAAAAAAAAAGTTCAAGAAATGGGTTGATTCAGTGCACTTCCGTTAATGACCCCGAGATTTTAGCTCTGTGAGTCTCTTGAGAGAAAATCTCTCAAGAAAGAGATTCTTGAGTGCCTCCTCCAAGCGCAGCTGGCAATGGCCATGGCTCCCGGAGTTGAACATGCAAGCTCCCGCTCTCCATGGCAGTGTCTTCCAGTGACCAGGTCTCTCTGCTCTTTCTCTAGTGGTCTCTGCTCTTAACAAGGCCTGGTGCGTGAACTGCTTTGCCTGTTCCACCTGCAACACTAAGCTAACACTCAAGTAAGTCGATGGCTGGTCCCAGGTGAATCCTGAGACTGAAAACTTTGGGAAGACATTTTTTTAAAAACTACTCCTAGAATTAAAAAACGTTGTTTAATCTGTTTCTCCTTTCTCTTCAGCCCTTCTGAAAGTAAAGGTTCTTCCTTTAACTGTTTGCTATTCTTTCTTCTGTTCCTTCTTTGTCCTACTCAAAGGGATAAATTTGTTGAAATTGATCTAAAGCCAGTCTGCAAACACTGTTATGAGAAAATGCCAGAAGAATTTAAGAGGCGACTTGCCAGACGGGAGAGAGAAGCAAAGGATAAGGACAAGCAGAAAAAGAAAAAGCCAGTCTGTTTGTAAACTTTTCTATCCCTTCTGTCATCATTTTTGCTACTTTCCTCTTTGGTTAGTCCTTCAGAATGTGTTTTTTGTTCTGTTTCTTTCGCTTTTTTTTTCTTTTTGGTCTGTATGTGCAGCCGTCAGAGACCGGAATTCCAGGATCTGCCCTTATGCATGACTATGAACATGGTGACACTTTGGCTGAGGTCTGCACTGATCACCAGCTGTGCTCATGTCTTTCCCTCGGCCTGTACACTCACTCGCCTTTCATTTATTTATTTATTTTTAATTACAATACATCAGAGAGGACTTTTCTTTCAAGGGGAAGAATTCCTGTCTCTTAACAGAGAGTAGGAGAAGTTTTAAAATATTTTAGTCTAATAACACAGCTTTTAGAGTCCTGGTCTTTGGTTTTTTGGCTGAAGACATTTAACTGATAAATCGTAAATATTGTTTGATGTTTTAAAAAAGTGCATGTGTTTGAAGTTCTGTATTCTTTCAGCATGTTTTGTATCCAAGCCAAGTCTTATCTCATTGTCGTACATACCTACTCTTACGGTGTTGCTATATGTCCCTTCACACAGTGCCTATATGCCACTGTTTATGAATTCATTTCCTTGATGTCTTCAAACTCTCTTGTTCCTGGTATTTTTTAAAAAACACTTATTTATATATTTGAAAGGCAGAGTTAGAGAGAAGAAAAGGTGGGAGGGAGGAACATTTTCCATCTACTGGTTCACTCCCCAAATGGCCACAACAGCCTAGGCTGCCCCAGTTGGAAGGCAGGAGCCAGGGTCTCCCACATGGGTGGCAGGGATCCAAGTACTTGGGCCATCTTCTGCTGCTATCCCATTTGTCCATTAGTAGGAAGCTGGATTAGACGTGGAGCAGCTGGGACTCAAGCAGGCATTCCAGGAGGGGATGCTGGTGTCACAAGCAGTGCATTAACTCACTGTACCACAACGCCAGCCCTGAAGAATGCATGAAAGCTTGGACCAGACGTATTAGATGACAGTGTACCTCTGAACGTTTCCACAAACTCTCCCTAAGTGCAATTTCACAGACAATGAACAAGTTATAAAATGTGTATTTAGTTCAAAACTAAAGGGTCTGAATTCCAGCAGTGCTAACTCACTGTGCTTTCCTGCTGGAAGTGCATTACAGATGCGGCTGAGATGGGCTGTCTTCCCCAGGACAGCTTGGTCAGATGCGGCTGAGATGGGCTGTCTTCCCCAGGACAGCTTGGTCAGATGCGGCTGAGATGGGCTGTCTTCCCCAGGACAGCTTGGTCAGATGCGGTGAGATGGGCTGTCTTCCCCAGGACAGCTTGGTCAGATGCATTCAAAGTGTGTATTGCTCTGCTTTAAAGAGCGGGTGGAGCAGGTGTCAGAGGCCACGGTGCAGGCGCCACGTGGGATTCCCACATCCCACACGGGCGTGCTTGGGTTCAGGTCCTGATTCCACTTGCTCAAGTACTGGGGTCCTTGCCTCCCCTGGGAGAGACCTGGCCTGAGGGACTTTGTGCTGGCCCAGCCCTAGGTGTTGCAGGGGTTCCTTAACGTGCTCTCATGGCCCTTAGATTGTGGTTTACTCTACTTCCTAAATTATGTCTACATTGGGTTTCTCTTTACTTAGCACTGAGTGAAACGTAATGTAAATTATTATTCTGTGTTACACAGATAAGCGATCCCATTGTTAGGGGACAGTTTTTAATACTATGAATTTTTTTACGTTTACCACAGAAAGAATTTAAGGTTGGAATTACAGTTCTTTACTAACAGGAATGTAGATGCTACCATATAGTGCTATTAAGAAACATTTTTACATCTGTGTTGAATCCGTTTCCACTAATTTGTCTTTTTTATGTAATTATTATCTTTAGGAATAAATTTGTGGAGTTTGACATGAAGCCAGTCTGCAAGAAGTGCTATGAGAAATTTCCACTGGAACTCAAGAAAAGACTTAAGAAACTAGCTGAAACCTTAGGAAGGAAGTAACTTCCTTGATTTTATTTTTTCTCTTCTATGCAAAGATAAAAGATTACTAACATGACTTAACTTGATCTGCCCTTACTTAAAGCTATAGCTCTGAGCAGTTGAGAGTGAAGAACACTTATATGAATGATTCTCATCTCTTTTTTTCTGATTAAAAAAAGTTATATTTAAATGCTGATGAAATCAAGATCTGCCTTTGTTAACTGTTGTCAGTGTTGACTTGTAGATGATACATGATCAAATGTTAAATTTCAGTTTAGGACCACCAAATTAAATATAATTTTTTAAATGAAAGAAATCAGTTTTTATATATCCAGATAAAAAATAATATAAGCATTTTACTTTGTATTAAAAAGAAAATTACTTCCAACTGCTTTTGGGGAAGATAGAAGGAAGAATAATGAACCAAGAAAAATGAGTCCTAAACAGTCTCAGTGTGTGTAGTTTATCGGACCAGTAGCTGTAACAATGAATGCATACATTACTAAGGAAAGAAAAAAGGTGTGTTCAGAACTACTTGATTCTATTCTTTTGTTACATGGAGTAATTATTATGCTTAGTTTTATATTTTGTTCTTGTGAACCTCACCTTTGTATGATTACTTAGCACATTAGTTATAGCTAGCCATCAGTATGTCTTTGAGAATTTTGTGCAAAAAAATTATACAAGGCCTTTGAAAATACTGCTTCCTTTACAATATTGGAAAAATTAAGTATTTTTTAATGTATTACAGCAATTGTACGTCTAAGTTTAACGTCAAACATGTAGTCTTAGAATAGGACATGGAATTAAATTTTATGTGGCTTGTAATGTGTCACCTGGAGGAGGTAGATGATATGTATGTATTGGTCATGTTGCTTTTGTAACCGTGCTAACATGTATGCTTTATATATGTAATCAGTCTTGCTTTGCCTTAAAAAATGCATACTTTAATCAGGAATTCTAGCTGTTTCCTACAATGCCAACTAAAAATTAAGTGCACTGGTGAGATCTGTAGACCCAAATTCATTTATCGCAGCTGTCATAAAAATATGAAAATGTTTTTCCTGTTTCTTGGGGAAACACATTGAAATTAATTCCTATCGTCTCAGTGGATGAAAGTGATGCTGATATGTGTTTTAGGTTTTCCGTTTCAAATATCATGACTCATTGGATTTTATTTGCTGTAACTGGGAGATATAAATGCCACTTATTAATGGAAGCAGGATGTTAAGTCTGATTGTCGGTCAGAACTAGGGAACGACCCTGTTGTATAAATGGCTGATCCTGAAGCGTCTGGACATTCTTTCTGGGCAACTTGTCAGCAAAGCTTCATGAACATTTCGAAGTGTTGCTGCTGCTGCTGTTTAAGCAGAAAGTTGCTGAGAGAGACTTTTAAGGGAAATTTTTTTTCCAAAAATCACAGAAACCTTGTTTTGCCATTAAAGAAAAATCTCAGGATGCTAATACTCTGCCATTAAAATACATGTATGCATGCTTTTAAAAAATATTTGTGCGTGTGCTTTTCAGATTAAATTCTATTTTTATTTTCTGAAAACATAACCAATTACATTATTTTTTTCGTGTTCTTTTAGAGTTAAAAGAACTGTCATAGGTGATTGAAAATAAACAATATATAGTCTAAGAATGTATGTGTAATTTAGAATGGTCATTTGACAGTAAAAAGCAAAAACCTTCCAGTGTGCCTTTGTCAGCTAATATGACCAACCAGCATTGAACACCTTTAAAGTATTTATTAAATATTATACCCTGGGTATAGGCAAAATAGGACAGGGTTTGCCAGTACTGGGTCATGACATTAAATTCTTATATAACCCTATACCGAAACCAGAAGCACTTACATGAATTCCAAGTACTGCAGCAAAGCAAGCATTTACATTTATGCTTAATGAAGATGCCTGGGCTGAACCCATCTGCCTTATGCAGCCCAGCATCTCCTGTAGCCAGGAGTCCCACTGCTGTCTTTGCTCAGTGCTGTTTCCTGACAGCTGGCCTCGGAGGCCTGGGACACCCGCGGAGAGTAACCTCGTACGGTGCTCTCTTGTAGGGGTATCATTGGAGCCATTGTACATGGGAAAGAAGAAGGGGAAAAGGTCTATACGAAATGGAAGACGAACTTGGTCTAGACCATAGTATGTACCATGGAGTGTACCCTGGCTACTGACAACCCCAGGCCAGTCAACATCTCTTTATTTAAAGTCCTACAGGACAGTCTGAAGCAATTCGTTGTTCTTACCCAGTTGTTAAGTACTCTTGTTCTTAGGAAGCCTGGGGTAGTCAGGGAAATTGGTACAAGAAAGCCTTAGTAACCCTCAGCCAAAGTCGTACATCATTTTGCTTCACCAACTTGCCAAATAGCCATTTCCAAGTGAAGGAAAATTTAAGGTCAGCATACAGCGTTCTTGGGTTTCATTTTATATTGTAAGCCCAATGCAGGGAACTACATCAACCGTTACAATATACTCTTGGTGCTTAATAAATGTTCATAATTATTAACAATAACCTGTTGTGTAGTGTTAATTTGAATGGCATCTATCTATCTCTTTCTCTCTATATATATCTAATGTATGTAAGTGTCCATGTATATAATAGAAACATATATGAATGGGAGAAAGAACGGTGGTGGAGTCTTCCACTATTCAGTGTGAATGCTGACTGCTAAAACATTCTTCATGAGGGGCCAGCACTGCGGCGCAGAGGGTTAAAGCCCTGGCCTGAAGCACTGGCATCCCATATGGGTGCCAGTTCTAGTCCCAGCTGCTCCTCTTCTGATCCAGCTCTCTGCTATGGCCTGGGAAAGCAGTAGAAGGTGGCCCACGTGCTTGGGTCCCTGCACCTGTGTGGGAGACCCAGAAGAAGCTCCTGGCTCCTGGCTTCAGATTGGCGTAACTCCGGCCATTGCGGCCATCTGGGGAGTGAACCAGTGGATGGAAGACCTCTCTCTCTGTCTCTACCTCTCTCTGTGTAACTCTATCTTTCAAATAAATAAAAATAAATCTTTAAAAAAAATTCTTCATGAAGGATATACGTGTCTTCATACACACCCAGCAAGCCTGAGTCATCGCAGTGTTTGGTCCTCCCTTAATTCTTGACTTACCTTCAGTGTGGAGGTTCCTGGCTCTGTCAGAATGGGGTCTTGCATTACTTTTGCTCCCCTAGGAAGGTGAGCCAGGCCATTGTGCCTCCATGAAATGGGACAAGCCTGGGGATGGGAGAGTGCAGGGGCATTAAGGAGGGAGGGAGGGCTTCCTAGAGGAGCTGGATCAAGAGAGATGAACAGATACTGGGCAGAGGAGGCAGCCAGGGATGCAGGGCCTGGGGTCTCCTCCATGGCCCGTGTTCCCCATCACCCTCTGTCCAGGCTCTGGAGCTAGTAACCAGTTGACTTCAGTTTTTCCCTCCCCACAGCCTGAAGCCGCCCCAGATCTCACCACTGCAGACTCCATCACCTCAGCTGGCCTTCTGACTGGCAGCCCCAGCTTGGCCACCCCGTGTGACGTCTGCCTTCTCTCAGGGTCAGCACACGTCCACACAGAACGGTCTTTTCCACCTCTTGACCGACTCCCTGGTCACAAGAGCACCCTTCTCACTTGTGAGACTCAGCTCCAATGTCACTGCATTTGTAAACTCTTCCCTGATTTCTTCAAGCACCGTTGGTCACTTTCCTTGTTCCACTAGGTCTTTGCACTTGACCTCTGACGTAGCATTTAAGGCATGCAATGTAAAGATCTGCTTCCGTTCCCGCTGGAAGGTTGGCTCCTGGGCGACGGGATGAGGTTGTTTGTGGAGAGTGAACCAGTAGATGGAAGACCTCTCTGTGTCTCTAGCTCTCTCTGTAACTCTGTCTTTCAAATAAATAAAAAATAAAATAAAGTGAATTCTAGAAGAGGGTGTGTCTGGGGCCACTCAATTCATGATCTGAATAAGCTTTAAGGTTTGCGAAGTCACAGTACTGTATTTGGAACACAGCTGAAAAAAATCTCATTTCTAGAAATATGTTACTGATTCGGTATAGGTCTTAATTTCTAAAATACTAGAGATGGGCATGATGAAAAGAGTTTATTAAAAGGAAATTCTTTTGCCACATATTCAGATGTGATTATGAGGATTATTTTAGCTCAAACAAATTAAGTATTTTGAAAATTACTCGTATACCACTTCCCACTCAATAATCCACCTCCTCTGAAATCCCTGCTTACTTAGGATGTGCTATTCTTGAACATTAATCTCTATTTCTGAAACTTTTTTTAAGATTTATTCTATTTACTTGAAAGACAGAGTTACAGAGAAGGAGACAGAGAGAGAGAGGTCTTCCATCCACTGGTTCGCTCCCCAGATGGCCGAAATGGCCAGAGCTGTGCCAATCCGAAGCCAGGAGCCAGGAGTTTCTTCTGGGTCTCCCACGTGGGTGCAGAGGCCCAAGGACTTGGTCTATCCTCTACTGCTTTCCCAGGTTACAGCAGAGAGCTGGATCGGAAGTGAGCAGCTGGGACTAGAAACGGACCCATATGGAATGCGCCACAGCGCCAGCCCCTATTTCTGAAACTTTCACATAGCTCTTTCCCAGTGTCAGAAGACAGCTAGGGTCTTTTAACTTTATATACCTGTAGCTGAGCTGAGCAGATGGACCCCGACCTGTGGGACAGAAGTGAGTAGCCCTGTGAACTCGCTGGAAACTGAACCAATTTTGAATCCACAGACTGTTGGCCGGCACTGTGGCTCACTCTGGCTAGTCCTCCACCTGCGGCACTGGCACTCTGGGTTCTAGTCCCGGTTGCTCCTCTTCCTGTTCAGTTCTCTGCTGTGGCCCGGGAGGGCAGTGGAGGATGGCCCAAGTCCTTGGGCCCTGCTCCCACATGGGAGACCAGGAGGAGGTACCTGACTCCTGCCTTCGGATTGGCACAGCGTGCCAGCCATAGCGGCCGTTTTAGGGGTGAACCAATGGAAGAAAGACCTTTCTCTCTTAAAAAAAAAAAAAAAAAGAAAGAAAGAAAAAGAAAAGAAACCACAGACTGCAAAGAGGAGCTGGGAATTGTATCCTGAGCCTAACCAGATAGATGGTCAAAACAGCATCTACATTCTCCCTAGGATTTCATTTAGTGATTAAAAAAAATAAATTCACGATGTTGTACAGCCATCCCCACCGTCTACTTCCAAATTCCAGCAAGAGACCCCTTTCGTGTTAGCAATCGCAGGCTCTCCTAATTCCACCTCCACCCAGCCCCTGGCAACTACGAGTCCACTTCGTCTCTGATTTGCTTGCTCCTACTTGACTTCTCATATACATGGAATTATAAACTACGTGGGCTTTTGTGATTATTGCTTTCGCTTAATGCTCTCAAGGTTCATCCGTGTTGTATCAGTACTTTCATTCTTTTCGTGGCAGTATAACATTCGATGGTGTGGAGAGACCACCTTGCTTATCTGTTCTTCAGTACATGGACATCTTGGTTGTCTTCACCTTTGACTGATAAATAGTGCAGCTGAAAAATAAAAAAATCACATGGGCTGGTGCTGTGGTGTAGCGGGTAAAACTGCCGCCTGTGGCTCCAGCATCCTGTATGGGCGCCTATTCGTGTCCTGGATGTTCCACTTCCGATTCAGCTCTCTGCTGTGGCCTAGAAGAGCAGAAGATGGCCTAATTGCTTGGGCCCCAGCACCCACTGGGAGACCCGGAAGAAGCTCCTGGCTCCTGGCTTCAGATTGGCGCAGCTCCTGCCATTGTGGCCAACTGGGGAGTGAACCAACGGATGGAAGATATTCTCTCTCTCTCTCTCTCTCTCTCTTTCTCTTTCTCTTTCTCTTTCCCTCCCTCCCTCCCTTTCCTCACTCTGTAATTCTTTCAAATAAATAAATGTTTAAAAAAATTCACACAAAGTTTTATGTAGACATGTTTTCATGTAATTCATATACACAGATGTCATTGGTTTAAATAATGTTGTTTTATTTCTTTCACCAGTGTTGTGTAGTTTCCAGTCTACAAGCGTTTTACTTCTTTGGCTAAATTTATTCATAATTACTCTCCTTGAGATTATTGTAAATGGGATTGTTTTCTCAACTTTCGTTTCCACATTGTTCATTGCTCGTGCACTAGAGTACTGTAACGGGGAAAAAGGAATTAAAAGTTTGTTTAGGTGCAAAAAGTTTTTGGAATCCATGCATTTTTTTTCATAATACACATTTCTAATGCCAGGGTTCTTCAAAAAGTACATGAAAATGTGGGGAAAAAACTATGCATGGATTTCAAAACTTTTTTTTAATCTAAGTCAATTTTCATAAAGACTTTGAAGTATTTTTATGTAAATAAACAACTGGATGGGGGGTATATGTATTGGCCTTATAGTGTACAACCTTATTTACCATTTTTTCTTAAAAGATTTTATTTATTTGAAAGGCAGAGAGATAGAGTTTCGATCTGCTGGTTCCCTCCCCAAATGGTCTTGCTGGTTGGGCCAAAGCTCAGAGCCAGGAATTCCATCCTGCTCTCCCATGTCGTTGGCAGGGGTCCAAGTACATAGGTCACCTTTTGCTGCTTTCCCCGGGCGCATTAGCAGGAAGTGGGCCTGCCAGAATTCGAATGGGATGCCGCTGTCACAGGCCGTGGCTTAACCCTCTGTGCCACAACACTGGCCCCTGAACTCATTCATTCCTTCTGATAGTTTGGGGTTTTGTTAGTGGTGGTGGCTGCAAGGTGACCGGCACATAACAAATCTTCCCAGGCAGACAAATCAGTTAATTCACAGGCTTTTATTGGGGTTCCGCTCCCGGGCAAGGTTCCCCGGTCCCAACAGAGTGGGGCCGGGTAAGTCGCGCGTCAGTGTTTGGGAGAGCTCCTTTTATAGATTCAGGGCATGGGGGTTAAAGGTTGAGGCGGGTCTGATCCTCATTGGCTGACCTTTAGGCACCCGCAGGGACCTTGACAAGGACTTTTCTTCCCTGGAAGTACAGGTAGGGACTCTCCATTCCCGGAAGCGTAGGCCTTCCCTCCTTGCGGATCCCAAAGCTACCAGTGGCTGTTTTTGTTTTTTTAGGCTTCATTAGGGTTTTCTCTATTTGAGCTCATGTCACCTGTGAGTAGAGAGAGTTTTATTAGCTCTGTTCCTATCTGGATGCCTTTTTTTTTTTTTTTGACAGGCAGAGTGGACAGTGAGAGAGACAGAGAGAAAGGTCTTCCTTTGCTGTTGGTTCACCCTCCAATGGCTGCCGTGGCCGGCGCACCACGCTGATCCGATGGCAGGAGCCAGGTACTTATCCTGGTCTCCCGTGTGGGTGCAGGGCCCCAAGTTCTTGGGCCATCCTCCACTGCACTCCCGGGCCACAGCAGAGAGCTGGCCTGGAAGAGGAGCAACCGGGACAGAATCCGGCGCCCCGACCGAGACTAGAACCTGGTGTGCCGGCACCGCTAGGTGGAGGATTAGCCTAGTGAGCCGCGGCGCCGGCCCTGGATGCCTTTTATGTTGTATTTTTTTTTGTGTTTTGTTTTTGCCTGATTGCCCTGGCTAAACCTTTCAGCACAATGTTGAACAGAGACAGTGAAAAAGGACACACTTGTTGTTCCTGCTTTTACAAGGAATGCTTTCTGTCTCTCACAGTTCAGGAGGACTGTGAGCGCTGTGGATGCTCTCCACCGTGTAACGAGGTTTCCTATTTCTAGTGGGTTGAGTTTTCCCATTGTGAAAGGGGGCTGGATTTTGTTCAGGGCCTTCAGTGAATCTGCTGAGACACTCTTGTGATTCTGGCCTTTATTAGTTTTGATGTATGTTAACTTTTTAAGTGAATCAACTTTGCATTCCTGGTTATATAACTCAACAATAACCCAACAATTAATTTATAATCAATAATTGAAAGGAATTGTTGATGACCAAAAAGATTTACTACTACCATTTTGTTGTTTTCCATCATTTTGGAGAGGCTCTCTTTATTCCTTTCTGCTGTCTCCCTTTGTGATTAGCTGATTTTCTATAGTGGTATACTTTGATTTCTTACTTCTTAGTCATATTTATTTATTTGAAAGATAGAGTTACAGGGGCAGGGGAGGGAGAGATCTTGATCTGCTGGTTCACGGCCCAAATGCCCACAACAGCTAGGGCTGGGCCAGACTGAAGGCAGGGGCCTGGAACTCTATCCAGGTCTCTCATGTGGGTGCAGGGTTCCAGGGGCTGGGTCATCTTCCACTGCTTTCCCAGGTGCATCAGCAGGGAGCAGGAGCAAGTGGAGCAGCCGGGAATGCCGGTGCCTCAGGCCATGGCTTAACCCGCTACAATACAACGTGGGCCCCTCAAGATACACTTTTAAACAGCCCTTACAGCTACACATTTCCAACTAAGTTCTGCTTTGGCTGTATCCTGTGAATTCTGGTGTGTTGTGTCTTCATTTCATCCACCTCAAAGTATTTTAAAATATCTTTTGGATCTCCTTTTTTGACGCACTGGTTCTTTAGAAATATGTTGTTTAATTTCCACATATTTGTGAATTTCTCACATTTCTGTTACTGGTCTCTAGCTTCACTCCATTGTGCATGGAAAACATATTTTGTAAGATTTCAGTTCTTTTCACTTTATTGAAAGTTTGTGTTATGCCCTAGCATATGATCTGTGCTAGAGAAAGTTCCATGTGCATGAGAAGAATATGTATTCCGCTGTCAGGTAGAGCTTTTTGTAGATGTCACATACATTTCATTTGTGTATAATGTCTAATCTTATGCTACACTGATGACGTCTGTTAAGTGGATCTGTTACGGTTCTTTTAAAAAATGTATTTGTTTGAAAGTCAGAGTTACAGAAAGAGATCTTTCATCTGCAACCGCCAGGACTGGGCCAGGCTGAAGCCAGGAGCCAGGAGCTTCTTCCAAGTCTCCCATGTGGGTGTAGGGGCCCAAGCACTTGAGCCATCCTTGACTGCTTTAACCTGGCCATTAGCAGGGTGCTAGATTAGAAGTGGAGTAGCTCGGACACAAATCTGTTCCCATATGGGATGCCAGCATGGCAGGTGGCAGCTTTACCTGCTATGCCACAACACCAGCCCCTATTATGGTTCATTAAAAATATATTTAATGGTTTAGAGCAAAAAATCTAACATTGAGTTTGTAATACATGTAAATTTAATATATGACTTCAACATTAAGAGGGAATGGAAAGATAGCCTGTATGAATGCAGTTGCTGCATTCCTTTATAATGTTAATACAGATGCTCCTTGCTTATGATGGGGTTATGTCCTGATAAAGCCATTGAAAATATAGGTTGAACTGTATTTAACACACTTAACCCATCAGATATGATAGCCACACGGCACAGTCCCTCATGGCAGATTGGGAGCTGTAGTTTACTGCCACTGCCCAGCTCTGTAAGACAGAACTATAATATCATACATCACCTGTCTAGGAAAAGATCGAAGGTCAGAACTGCAATATGGTTTCCACTGATTGCATATTGCCTTTGCACCACTGTACAGTTGAACAGTTGTAAACTGAACTATTGTAAGTTATAAGTCAGCAATCATGCCTTCCTAAGAAGTCTGTGAGAGATTCAGTACACTGATTCCTAGAGTTGCTGTTTATTATTACAATAATAACAAAGGAGGCAGAAAAAGGTATAAATAGAGGAATGAAAAGTGGAACAAACAGAAACAAAAAAATTATAAAGTATCCAAACAGATCAATAATCACACTACAAATAAATGGGGAGGAGTGGTAGGTGTTGTGGTGCAGCAGCTAAGCCGCTGCTTGGGATGCACAACCCACACTGCAGTGCCTGACTTGAGTCCTGGCTACTCCACTTCCAATCCAGCTTCCTGCTAATGTACACCCTGGGGGACAACAGGTAAAGGCTCGAGTACTTGGGTCCTTGCCACCCACATGCGAGACCTAGACTGAGTTCCAGGCTCCTGACTTCAGCCTGGCCGGGCCTTGGCTGTTGTCAATACTTGGGAAGTGAACCAACAGAGGGAAAACCTCTCTCTCTCTCTCTCTCTCTCTCTCTCTCTCTCTCCCCCTCTCTCTCTCTCTCTCACTTGCGCATGTGTGCATGCAAGCACCTGCTCTGCCTTTCAAATAAATTTTAAAATTAAAAAAAAAAAAAAAAAAACTGGGCGGGCACTGTGGCTCACTAGGCTAATCCTCTGCCTGCGGCGCCGGCACCCCTGGTCCTAGTCCCAGTCGGGGCGCCGGATTCTGTCCCGGTTGCCCCTCTTCCAGGCCAGCTCTCTGCTGTGGCCCGGGAGTGCAGTGGAGGATGGCCCAAGTGCTTGGGCCCTGCACCCCATGGGAGACCAGGAGAAGCACCTGGCTCCTGGCTTCGGATCAGCATGGTGCGCTGGCCGCAGCGGCCATTGGAGGGTGAACCAACGGCAAAAAGGAAGACCTTTCTCTCTGTCTCTCACTCTCTCACTGTCCACTCTGCCTGTCAAAAAAAAATTAAAATTAAAAAAATTTTAAAAATGGATTATACATAATTAAAAGACATTGTCAGAATAGATAAAAACAATACCCAGTTACACACTGTTTACAAGAAATTAGATTTAAATAGGACATATATATATAAAGGATGGAAAATATGTATGAACATATATGTATGAACATGTATATGTATGAACACACATATATATGTATGAACATATATGTATGAACATATATAAAGGATGGGGAAATGATATACTATAGAAACCTTGATCAGTAGAGCTGGACTGGGTGCAGACACTGTGGTACAGCATTGAGACAGCTGCGTCCCATATCAGAGTTCATGGCCTACCTCCTCTGTTTTCAATCCAGCTTCTTGCTAACACATCCTGGGAGGCAGCAGATGATGGCTCAAGTGTTTGGGCCCTGCCACCCATGTGGGCGAGTAGGCCAGACTTCAGGCTCCTGGCTTTGGCCCTCCCAGCCCTGCTGGTACAGGCAGTTGGGAAGTGAACCAACGCATGAAAGATTCTCTCTCTCTCTCTTTTTTATTTGACAGGCAGAGTGGACAGTGAGAGAGAGAGACAGAGAGAAAGGTCTTTCTTCCATTGGTTCATTCCCCAAATGGCCGCCACGGCCGCTGCACTGCGCCAAACTGAAGCCAGGAGCCAGGTGCTTCTTCCTGGTCTCCCATGCAGCTGCAGGGGCCCAATCACTTGGGCCATCCTCCACTGTACTCCTGGACCACAGCTGAGAGCTGGATTGGAAGAGGAGCAACTGGGACTAGAACCCGGCGCCCATATGGGATGCCGGTGCCGCAGGTGGAGGATTAGCCAAGTGAGCCACAGCACCAGCCTCTCTCTCAGTCTCTCTCTGTCTCTCTCTCTCTCTTGCCTGGCCTGTCAAGTAGCTGAAAACACATTTTTTTAAAAGAGTTGGCATGAACATTTTAATATCAGACAAGGCAGTTTTCAGAGCAAACAATCAGAGAAGAACATGAAAATTACTTACAAAGGGGTCAGTTCACCAGGAAGACGTAAGAACTCCAAATGCATTTCCATCTAACACCGGAGCTTCAAAATTCATGAAGCAAAAAGTGACAGGATTGGGAGAGACAGCCAAATTCAAAACACTAGCTCCAGATGTCCTTCTCTCCGCGATGGCAGGACTGTGCCATGGGAAATCAGCAAAGAACACAAGTGAGCAGCACCCACAGCTAGCTGGCTTGAATTACCGTTACAGAACCCCACCTGGCAGCAGCAGAGTGCATACCCTCCAGCGCCCGTAGAACCGTACAGCGAGACAGACTGCATATGAGGCCTTAGCAAGCTTAGATGACAGCAGGCAAAGTGTGTCCTCTCACAGAATGGAAGTAGACCGGGGTGCAGTAAGACAAACCCTCTGGAAATTAAACAAGTTTCTAAATAATCCACGTAGCCGAGGGGGAATTAGAAAATGTGAACATCCCCTCATGGGCTCCGACACAACATTTGTTAATAAATTATTAACACTGGGGGCGGTGTTTGGCCTTGCGGTGCATTTGCGCCATCTGTATTTCGTATCTGAGTGCCAGCAACTTCCCATCCAGCTTCCTGCTAACCATACCCTTCCTCCAAAGCAGCAATGACTCAAGTGCTTGAGTCCCTGCCGCCCTCACGGGAGACCTGGATGGAGTTCCAGGCTGCGGGCTTCAGCCTGCCCACCCCTGACAGTTGCCCACATTGGGGTAGTGAATCAGAGGATGGAAGACCTCTGTTTCTCTGCCTTTCAAGTAAAATGAAAATAAATAAAAACCTTAAAAAGCATTATCAAATTGAATCTAGACTACAAAATGTTAATAAACACTCAGCTGTGAAAGCCCATGCAATTCTGAGAAATACTACACTACAGATGAACCTTGGAAAACATTGTGTTAAATGTGCCAGATTAAAAGGACACATCACTGATGATTCCACTTCTATAAAGGCAAATCCACAGAGACCCGAAGTAGCACTGGGATGACACGGGTTTGTGGGGAGGCTCCCTGGGGGAAGTATTGTTTAATGGGTATGGACTTTCTATTGTAGATGACCAAAAAGTTTTGGAAATGAATCATAGTGCTGGCTCCATAACATTGTGAACATACTCGATGCCATTGAGTTGTACGCTTGAAAATAGTTAATTTTTTTTTTTTAGGCAGAGTTACAGAGATAGAGAGGAAGGGAGAGACAAGAGATATCTTCCATCTGTCGGTTCGCTCCCTAAAGGGCCACAATAGCCAGGGCTATGCTGGCCCAAAGCCAGGAGCCAGGAGCTTCTTCCAGGTTTCCCACGTAGGTGTAGGGGCCTAAGAACTTGGCTCATCTCCCAATGCTTTTCCCAGCCCATTAGCAGGGAGCTGGATCAGAAATGGAGCCATTGGGACACAAACCCCTTTTCAACTAATTAGAAGTCGAGGATTCAGAAGATTAATCAGGTAAACACACTACTGATGAAAAATATCATGAACCAGATATTTCTTTCTTTTTTTTTTCTTTCTTTTTTTTTTTTTTTTTGACAGGCAGAGTGGACAGTGAGAGAGAGAGAGAGAGAGAGAGAAAGGTCTTCCTTTTTGCCGTTGGTTCACCCTCCAATGGCCGCCACGGCTGGCACGCTGCGGCCGGCGCACCGCGCTGATCCGATGGCAGGAGCCAGGTACTTCTCCTGGTCTCCCATGGGGTGCAGGGCCCAAGCACCTGGGCCATCCTCCACTGCACTCCCGGGCCACAGCAGAGAGCTGGCCTGGAAGAGGGGCAACCGGGACAGAATCCGGCACCCCCACTGGGACTAGAACCCAGTATGTCGGCGCTGCTAGGTGGAGGATTAGCCTAGTGAGCAGCAGCGCCGGCCATGAACCAGATATTTCTGTGGATGCAACTGTCATCCAGATGGAATTTGCCGAGACTAGTGTTGTGGTGTAGTGGGTGACGCTACTGCTTGTGATGCCGTTATCCCATATCAGAGTGCTGCGGCTTGCGTTCTGGCTGCTCTGCTGCTAATGGCCCTGGGAGAGCAGCAGCAGCTCTCTCAAGGACTTGGCCCCTGACACTCACATGGGAGACCGGGATGGAGTTCCTGGGTCCTGGCTTCAGCCTGGTCCAGACCTGGTTGCTGTGGCTATTTGGGGAGTGAACCAAAGAATGAAAGCACACTCTTCCCTCAACCCCATCATTGCCTTTCAAATAAATAACTCTTTTAAAAAAGTTGATTTTGCAATTTGCACAGGACCCACTAGTGACGGTGCTGTTAAAGTAGAATTCATCGTCTAGCTCTTTGCTAAGAACATTTCAGCCAAGCACAACCGTTGTGCTGTGTGGAAAGATGTGGGCTGGGGTGGACATCATCAGGAAGAGAGTTCCTACCTTTAATGCCTGGAAGGACAAATTGATTCTCATATTTGTTGAAAAATTGGGCTTAAAGCTTTATCAATGCATTTTATTTTTTATTTTTATTTATTTATTTTTGGACAGGCAGAGTGGACAGTGTAAGAGAGAGACAGAGAGAAAGGTCTTCCTTTTTGCCGTTGGTTCACCCTCAATGGCCGCCGCGGCCAGCGCGCTGCGGCCGGTGTGCCACGCCAATCCGAAGCCAGGAGCCAGGTGCTTCTCTTGGTCTCCCATGCGGGTGCAGGGCCCAAGCACTTGAGCCATCCTCCACTGCACTCCCGGGCCACAGCAGAGAGCTGGCCTGGAAGAGGGGCAACCGGGACAGAATCTGGCGCCCCAACCGGGACTAGAACCTGGGGTGCCGGTGCCGCAGGTGGAGGATTGAGCCACGGCACCAGCCTATCAATGCATTTTAGACTCTACAAAAAAAAAACAAAAACAAAAACAAAAACAAAAAAACTGTTAAATGATGACTTATAAATGAAGACACAGAACTACATAACATTATTAGAAGAAAAAATACAAAGACATTAGTTTCTTGGGTCAGATTCCACCACAGGCAACAAAAATGGGCAAATGAATTTGCATCAAACTGAAAAGCAATTTTCTGTACAACACAGGAAATAATCAACAGACTGAGACTACCTGCAGAATGGGAGAAAATATTTGCATACATGTGATAAAGAGTTAATACGTAAATACTTATGGAACTCAAACAACTCCATAGTAAGAAAACAACCCAGTTTAAAAATGAACAAGGGGTGGGCATTTAGCACTGAAAATATGTCACTGCTTGGGATGCCTGCATTCCATATTTGAGTGCCTCACTCCTTCACTTTTTTTTTTTTTATTTGATAGGTAGAGTTATAGGCAGTGAAAGAGAGAGAGCGAGAGAGCAAGAAAGGTCTTCCTTCTATTGGTTCACTCTGCAAATGGCCGCTATGGCCGGCGCCCTGCGTCGATCCAAAGCCAGAAGCCTGAAGCCTCTTCCTGGTCTCCCATGGGGTGCAGGGCCCAAGGACCTGGGCCATCCTCCACTGCCCTCTCAGGCCACAGCAGAGAGCAGGACTGGAAGAGGAGCAACCGGGACTAGAACCTGGCGCCTATATGGGATGCTGGCGTCGCAGGCGGAGGATTAACCAAGTGAGCCACGGCGCTGGCCCCTCCTTCACTTCTGATCCAGCTTTCTGCTAATGTGCATGCTGGGAGGCAGATGACAGCCCCAATACTTGGATCCCTGCCACCCTGGTCGCAGACTGCTGGGGTTCTGGGCTCCAACTTTCAGCCTGGCCCAGCTCCGGCTTTGTATCTGGGGAGTGAACCAGCAGATGGTAGGTTTCTATCTCTCTGCCTTTTAAGACAATGAAAATAAAAAATTATTAAAAATGAAGAAAAGACCTGCATAGACATGTCTCAAGATATTCAAATGGTTATTAGGTATATGAAATTATGCTCAACATCACTAATCATCAGAAAAATATAAATTAAAACCATGATTATGTATCACTTCACATCTGTTAGAATGGCTATTTTGGCCGGCACCATGGCTCACTTGGCTAGTCCTCCACCTGCGGTGCCGGCACCCTGGGTTCTAGTCCCGGTTGGGGCGCTGGATTCTGTCCCGGTTGCTCCTCTTCTAGTCCAGCTCTCTGCTGTGGCCCGGGAAGGCAGTGGAGGATGGCCCAAGTGCTTGGACCCTGCACCCGCATGGGAGACCAGGAGGAAGTACCTGGCTCCTGGCTTTGGATCGGCACAGCGCCAGCCATAGCGGCCATCAGGGGAGTGAACCAATGGAAGGAAGACCTCTCTCTCCGTGTCTCTCTCACTGTCTATAACTCTCTCTCTCTCTCTCTCTCTCTCTCTCACTGTCTAACTCTGCCTGGCAAAAAATAAAAATAATACAAAAAAAGAATGGCTATTTTATCAAAAAATAACAAGTGCTGATAAGTATATGCAGAAAAGGGATGTACATTGTTGGTGGAAATGTAAATTAGCACATTTTGGAAAATATTTGTAAAATTTGTAAAAAATGAAAATAGAATTATATGTTTCAACAATCCTTTTTGGGTATATATCCAAATAAAATGAAATCAATGTTTCCTTTAACAAAAGGAAATTTTGTCATATGCAACATGGATGAACCCAGCAGGCAGTGCTAAGTGAGATAAACTATACACAGAGGAGAAAAATACCATATGATCCTGTATGTGAAATCTAAAATCCTGAACTCAGAAGCAGACAGCAGAATGGTGGTTGCCAGGGTTGGTGGTAACTGTGGACAGAATGGAGAGCCATTGCTCAAAGTAAAGGCTCAGGGTGGACATGTTCTGGAGATGTGTAGACAGCACCAGCTGGCCTCAACATCTGGAGCTGTGCCTATGTGAAGCCAGGAGCCAGGAGCTTCTTCCAGGTCTCCCATGCGGGTGCAGGGGCCCAAGGACTTGGGCCATCTTCTATTGCTTTCCCAGGCCATAGCAGAGAGCTAGATAGGAAGTGGAGCAGCCAGGACTTGAACTGGCGCCCATGTGGGATGCCAGCACTGCAGGCAGCGGCTTTACTGGCTATGCCACAGCACCGGCCCCTAGCTAATGTATTCTTGAAAACTGCTAAAAGAGATCTTCAGTGTTCACACCGTTTACATACAACAAAGCATAACTAGAGGATGTGGAGGCTATGTTTATTGCTTGGATGTAATTATTTCACAATCTACAAATATATCAAATTATGTTGTGCATCAAAAATACATAATTTTGTCAATTATATTTCCATAAAGTTGGAAAAGTGCAATTGCAAAATGATAGAATAGACACTTATACACATACAATGGGGCTACATCCTGATAAACCCCATCGTAAATTGAAAGTATCAGTCTAAAATGCATTGTATACAACTAACCTACTGAGGAACAACATGGCTCAGTGCTGCCTGCCTTACATTTGCTCCGGATACTTGCCTGCAGCCTACAGTTGAGTGTTATGAGACAGTATTGTGCTGCATATCTCCAGCTAATGAAAGGATCAAAAATCAAAGTACAGTTTCTACTGCACACATATAACTTTAGTACCATCATAAAGTCAAAGGGGCATAATCTAGGAACAGTCTTCTGTATATCACAGGACAATAATGTAAGTGAATTTTGAATGCCTCGGTAGAGACATTATACCACTTGACAAACTTGTTGCCAAAATGAAGAAAACATATGACTATCCTAATAAATGCAGATATATGAACTGCCTAGAGGGAGAGAGAACTCCCATCTGCTGGTTCACTCCCCAAATGCCTGTAATGTCTGGGGGCTGAGCCAGGCTTAAACCAGCAACCAGGAATTCAATCCAGGTATCTCACAGGGGTAGCAGGACCCCAATTACTTGAGCTCTCACTGCTGCCTCCTAGGGTCTACTGGGGGAAACTGGAGTCCGGAGCCAGGGCTGGGAATTGAATCCAGGTATTCCACAATATGGACCTCTTCACTGCGAGGTTAAGCGCTGGTCCTAAGAGGTTTTTTGAATTCCTCATGAAGGTTCTCTCCTTGGTCCACTTCTCAGTATGTTCAACTTAACAAAGATCAGTATTTTTCACTAGGTGAGTGTGTTTGGGCAAGCTGTTTTAGTGCCCATTCTCTTGGTCTGTTGGAAAACATAAGATAACAAATAACAGTACACTTGGAAAGTCATTGGGAAAATTAAAAGAGTTAATGCATGTGAAGTGCTATGAAAAGAGCCTGCAGCAGCAAGTGTTTACTTGTTAGTTACGGCTATTTTTACCAACATACTTCCCAAGGCTAACTTGTAGTTCCACTTATTTCCTGAGGGTTCTGACTTCCAAGTCTGTCACAGATCTTTGTCTTATCCTTTCATCTACATACGAGGCCAACTCCATCTCTATGTATTTCACCTCAAGGGAAAGAAACCAGCTACCTAAAATAGGATATTCCATCCCAAGCTAGATGCTCTTTACATATTATTTGTTAAAGTACAGCAGTCACACTGGTAACCCAAGAATCATCTTTTCTTACCACAAAGATTGAAATAAAGAAAAAGATCTGTTTTTCCTTCTTCTTCATAAAGGTAATGCTTGTTCAATATAGAAAACACGGAAAATCCAAAACGGATAAAGATTACTCAGGGTCGGTGCTGTGGAGTAGCCGGTAAAGCCGCTGCCTGCAGTGCCGGCATCCCATATGGACACTGGTTCATGTTCTGGCAGCTCCACTTCCGATCCAGCTCTCTGCTGTGGCCTGGGAGAGCAGTGGAAGATGGCCCAAGTCCTTGGGCCCTGCACCCCATGGGAGACCAGGAGAAGCACCTGGCTCCTGGCTTCGGATCAGTGCTGTGCGCCGGCCACGGCGGCCATTGGAGGGTGAACCAACGGCAAAAGAAGACCTTTCTCTCTGTCTCTCTCACTGTCCACTCTGCCTGTCGGAAAAAACCAGACAAAAAAATAAAAAATAAAAAGGGAAGCAAAGGAAAAAGGGCTTTGGTACTTTCAGAGAATTCGATGTGTCCTGTCCTTCGGCCACTGAAATGTAAGTTGCAATCCGCCAAAAAATAGTATTTGTGGCCTATCTTTTTAAACGCATACGTTTTAAAATAAGTGCTTCGTATTCACATGTGTCCCACACGATGTACTTTAGCCAATCACCTCCAGGATTGCGCCAATTTACAGGCTCAACCAAAATGGCCCGACATCTTTTTCCTTCCACAACATCACGTGATTTTAACTAAGGCCAAACACGGAACGCTCTTAGGAACCCACGAGGTAAAACGTTATCTCGCGGCGGTGAACACCGGGCTCTCCGCCGCAAGCAGGAGAATCGGCCTCAGATTCGGCCACCCCGGCTGCGCCCGCTCGGGTAGAGCCCTCGGACGGCAGTTCTAGGCGGGAGCGCCGCACTCGATGGCGTGGCGCACAGCGATGACGCAGCACGCACGCACGCCGCCCCGCCCCCTCCGCCGGCGACTGCGCTGCGTCACGGGTTTTCAAGCGCTTCGCTGCTGGACCCTGCGACCGCAGCGGGGCCTAACGCCTGCCGGCCGCTCGCCGGGAGTCCGGTCGGCGGCGCGATGAGGCGCAGCAAGGCCGACGTGGAGCGGTATATCGCTTCGGTGCAGGGCTCCGCCCCGTCGCCGCGAGAGGTGAGTCGTGTCCGGAGAGGCCGGGCCCTGGCCCAGCGGCGGCGCCGGCGCCATGGCTCCCGGCGCCAACCGCTCCCTGGCGCGTGCGGCGGAGGTCCGGGGCGGCTCGCCCTGCCCTGTGGGCGGCGCGGCGCTCGGGAGCGCTCGGGGAGGGGCGTGGGGGCGCGGGGGACGTCGGCGTTGCCTGCTTCCTGGGGCGGGGCGGGGGGCCTTGGTCCTCGTCAGGCCTGTTCCGTGCGGCCCGCGCTGCCCGGGCCCCCGGCTGGCGCCTCGGGCGGGCTCTGCCGTCCCGCTGCGGCCGCCTCTGGGCAGGGCGGCTGTTGGAACGCGGCGGGCTGTCCCCGCTGTGACGCTGCCGCGGCCGGGCAGGCGCCCTGGACTGCGGCCCGAGCGCGGGTGACCACGCGCAGTCCTCTCAGCCCCGCACGCCGAGCAAGCTGCTGTTTTATTTGCGGCCGCTTCCCCTTTACAGACGGGGTGCTCTGAGCTCAGAGTTTGCAAGTCTTTTTCCCGACAGCCAGTTCTGAGCACGTTTCTCCCTCCTGGATTACTTGGAGGCGGCGGCGGGGAGTGGGGCAGGTTACCACCGGTGGGCGCGCGCCGGCTCGTTGGTCTGCCTGCAGTTGAGTAGTTGCGACCCTGCCCTGGCAGACGCAGGTGGAGAGCGCGTTGAGTATCCCATCTGTAAAGCGGGCTTGATGAGGTGCGTGGTCGGTGCCCAACACCTCCAACGACGCCTGGCACGCCGTCAGCCCTACATGGGCGTCAGCTGCATCTCCTGGCGCTGGTGGTGTTGATGTTGGAAGTGAAGGTCTAGACGGCTGCTTCTGCATGGACGTGCGGGAAACGAGAAGTCTGTGTTGGGTGCAGAAAAGTTGTAAAGTTCTTGTATGGTTTTTTCCATAACACGCATTTCCCACGAACTTTGAGTTCTCATATTAGTGGTTGATCATGATTACAGTGCAACATAACGTGCCTTGTATCGTAGCCTAGTTATCTTACTTTATGCTCCAATAACTAAATACTGAGTCCTGCAGACGGGGAAGGTACTTGTCCAGGGCCAAGTGGATGGCTCAGCAGGGTGTTGGCAGTGGGTCTGATTGGCTTTTTTAGGAATAGTGTAACGGCCTATAGTCTGTCTCTCTGGAGAAGACACATAGGTTCCTACGTGCAGATGCCATTTCAAATCGCTGGCATAGTTTTTGTTTAAAGATTTATTCATTTATTTGAAAGGCAGAGTTGGTGGGGGCTGGGGACTCGAAGAGAGAGAGCTTCAATCCGCTGCTTCGTTCCCCAAATGGCTGTAAGGGGCAGAGCTGGGCTGTTCTGAGCCAGCAGCCGGGGCTTCTTCCGGGTCTCCTGTGTGGGTTCAGGGTCCCAAGCACTTGGGCCGTCCTCCGCTGCTTTCCCAGGCCCATTAGCAGGGAGCTGGATTGGAAGTGGAGCAGGTGGGACTATACCAGCTGCTGCCCATATGGGATGCTGGCACTGCAGACAGTGGCTTTACCTGCTGTATCACAGACCTGCCCCTGCATAGTCTTAAGTATGAATGTGTTAATAGTGTTAGAACCTTGTTGAAGGTTTCTGTAACTCCTAAGACTGGTATACTTTTTTTTTTGTTCTTATTTTTTGAAGCAAGTTTAGCATCTCCATAAGATTTTTTTTTTTAAGATTTATTTATTTATTTGAAAGTCAGAGTTACAGAAGGAGAGGCAGAGAGAGGTTCTCCCTCCGCTGGTTCACTCACCAATTGGCCACAATGGCTGGAGCTGTGCCGATCTGAACCAGAAGCCAGGAGCTTCTTCAGGGTCTCCCATGTGGGTGCAGGGGCCCAAGGACTTGGGCCATCTTCCATTGCTTACCCAGGCCACAGCCGAGAGCTGGATCAGAAGTGGAGCAGCCAGGACTCGAACCGGTGCCCATATGAGATGCCGGCACTGCAGGCAGCGGCTTTGGCCCCCCTCCATGAGATTCTTAGTGGGGACCTTGGCTCTCAAATGTTAAGAAGCTGCCGCCTGTAGTTGCAGCCAATTGGGAAGTGAACCAGCAGATGGAAGACCTCTCTCTCTGCTTCTCTTTCTCTCTGTGTAACTCTTTCAAAGAAATTAAAAAACAAAAAACAAACAAACAAAAAAAACACGGTTTGAGACAGAAGGTAGAGTATTTCTACTATATAATTTCTGTCAGATAAAGAGGATTAGTTATGGCCACCTCTCAAACTTGAAGAATATTGTTTTAATTGGGTATTTTTCTTAAAGTGGATGCCTGAGAACTTCAGCAAAATATGAAGTAGCTAGTATGTAACTTTACAATGTGTGAAGATATTTTCTGTATTTTTTTAAAGACATTTTCGGAAGGGGGCAGCCAGGACATGAGCTGGCACCCATATGGGATGCTGGCACTGCAGGCAGAGGGTTAGCCTCCTGTGCCGCAGTGTCAGCCCATGAAGGTATTTTCTAAAGTTAGATCTGAATGCAATGTCAAAATAGGGTGAGTTGGATAATTTGGAAGGGGCTTGCTGGTGGAGGGGGCAGCAGCAGCTGTGAAGAGTGGGGAGAGAGGCACTGGCATTGTGGTGCAGCAGGTTGCATTTCCTGCGATTTCAGCATCCAGTATCCCGGTGCTGGTTCAAGTTCGGCCGCTCTGCTTCCCATGCAGCTCCCTGCTAATGCACCTGGAAAGCAGCGGAAGCTGGCCCAAGTGCCTGGCCCCTGCATCCGCTTGGGAGACCTGGATGCAGTTCTGGGCTCCTGTCTTGGCCTGCCCAGGCTGGGCTGTTGTGGCCATCTGGGCAGTGAACCAGTGGATGGAAGATCTCTGTCTCACTCTCCCTGTAACTCTGCCTTTCAAATAAATAAATAAATAAATGTTTAGCATTTTTTGAAAATAAAAGAATGGAGAGAGGTTAGTGCTTAATCTCTCATTTTGGCAGAGTCTGGCCATTCGTGAACTGACTGTACTTCCTAGGATGTGGAGCTCTGGGGTTTCTTGATACGTGTAGAATCTCATATGTTCCTAGTCTTCACTGAGTTTTCATTTGTTCATGTGCTTGTAGCTGTACCATGTTTCTGCTTCTTCACATCTACTTTTGTCCTTGTTGAAACTATTCTTTCTGTAATATTGCCTTTTTTTTTTTTCTTTTCTGTTGCCCGACAGGCAGAGTGGACAGTGAGAGAGAGAGACAGAGAGAGAAAGGTCTTCCTTTGCCGCTGGTTCACCCTCCAATGGCCGCCGCTGCAGCCGGCGCACCGCGCTGATCCTGGCAGGAGCCAGGAGCCAGGTGCTTTTCCTGGTCTCCCATGGGGTGCAGGGCCCAAGCACCTGGGCCATCCTCCACTGCACTCCCTGGCCATAGCAGAGAGCTGGCCTGGAAGAGGGGCAACCGGGACAGAATCCGGCGCCCCAACCGGGACTAGAACCCGGTGTGCCGGCGCCGCAAGGTGGAGGATTAGCCTATTGAGCCACGGCGCCGGCCCTCTGTAATATTGCTTTTTACATATAATTTCTTTTGTCCTAAGATTCTGTCTGGTTGGTTTCCATTCTGCACCTGATTTCTACTCCTAGATGCTGCTGGACAGTACTAACTTGGTGGTTTGTTCTACCAATTACATCTATACTTCATACTTCTGATTTTATATATAGAGAGACAGACAGAGACAGCATGTGTGCACCAGAGGTCTCCCATCTGCTGATAATCTCAGGTGCTTGCAAGGACTAGGAACTCGCGGTGGATCCCCCACCTGGGTTTGCGGGAACCTGATTACTTGAATCTCAGCAGTGCCTCCAGGGAATCAGCCCAGGCACTCTGGTGTGGGATGTGGAGGTCTCACCTTCTAGGCTTGTTTCCATGTATATATATATATATTTTTTAAGATTTACTTTTTTCTTTAAAGATTTATTTATTTTATTTGAAAGAGTTAGAGGGAGAGAGACATAGAGATCTTCATCTGCTGGTTCACTCCCCAGATAGCTGCAACAGGCAGAGCTGGGCTGGCCTGAAGCCAGGAGCTTCTTCTGGGTCTCTCACATGGGTGGCAGAGGCCAAAGCACTTGGGCCATTTTCTGCTGCTTTCCCAAGCACATTAGCAAGGAGCTGGATAGAAAGTGGAGCAGCTGGGATGTGAACCCATGCCCCTACAGGATGCCGGGGTGTCGGAGGCAGCTGCCTAACCTGATATGCCACAGTTGTGGCCTCCAATTTTTATTTCTTGATTCTGTTTCTTCTATTTCAGATGCTTTCTGTTGTGCTCCTCTAGAACTCTATCCACAGGCATTCCTTGTTTCTCCCTCATTCTTGCAATTTTTGGCTAAGTTAGTGTTTAGCATTTATATAATTACAGACAAATATTTTTGTGTTTAATTTGCCTTTGTGTGTAGTTTCATTTTTCCTGAGTTAATACTTGCTTTAAATTTTGATTTATTTATGGTGTATTGCTAATTCTTTACTCAAACTATTCAGTTTTAAACTCTGAAGTGTAGTCTAACAGGCACGTAATCCCATTCATTTCAGCCAAAAGATTTTTCTAAAACAGTTTTCTTATACTTGGAACATTGTTTTACTGCCACAGCATTGACTGTTTTTTTCTTTCTCTTTATTACACAGCTGTGGTCCTGGGACATCCCATTATCCTCACCTTGATAATTTCCTTTGCCTCTTTTTTTGTGTTAGACCATGTGTTTTTTGTACTTTATGTCTTCTTGATTTACTTTCATTGTTTTGGAGTAGGATAATCGTACTTTGAGAAGGAACGGATGAGAGCTGGTTTCTTTTTTTTTTTTAATTGTATGTTTGAGAAACATTTACTTACTTTGATGGATAATTTGGTTATCAAATTCTGGATTCAAAATAACTTCTCAATTTTAAGAGCATTTCTCCATTTCTGATAGTTTTATTATAAGTCTGATTTTTTTGGTAATTTATAGATTTCTCTGGAAGCTTCAACTTAGAGTTCTGGCGTATTATTTCTTTGAACTTTGCTTTTTTTCTCCTGTTTTCTTTC